GTGTTTACTCATAATTAATGGAGATTACAAATTCAGATACATGCTGCACTGGTCCATTTAGCTCTGAGTGCTGCGGGGACTTTGCAAAATGTACGGTTTGTGCGTCATTAGGTTCGAAATATTTTACAATGGGACACCTCGGACTATCCAAATGCACAGTGACCTAGACTGAACACTCGCTCTGCCTTTGATCAGCAGCACATCGCAACGTGTGGGATTTTAAAGCTCTTTTTCACTCCAGGAAAATCTTAAAACAATAAAAAATTAAGAGCCACGAGAAAGTTTTAGCGAAGAGAGCATGTTTTAATGATTTAATGTCTTTGTGAGCAGGTAAAACACAGCCATCAAATGAACACAACTTGCCTAGCAGAGCAGTTACCGTAAGGAGTAGAATACCCAAAGCGTGCTCCTCCTCCACTCTTTGCTTGCACATGCCACTAACACAGGTGCTCATCGTATCTTACAAAATGCAATTAAGCCTTCAATATAGATATAGCGAAATGCAAAAGAAAATGCTAATTTTACACTGGTCTGGAAATTAAATATGCATTGTTTTTTAAATTTGCACTATAATAAATGTTGCTTTAATGGACAGATGGGATTGGCCAAGACTTATTACCGACGCAAAACCTTATATGGACAACTGAATGTCGCGATATGGCGGAAGGAAGCTATTTTGAGTCCTTAGCCGCAGTTGCCGTAGGAAAATAGGCCAAAGACATGATATATGGGTTGATGTGCTGTAGCTTTAGTGAGTCTGCCAGGTTACAGCCTGTTCTCATTTGCTTCTGGAAATTGATGTGCTCGTTCAGATGGGGCCGTTTGACACTCTAACCACACAGGACGATCCAGACGCCAGATTCCCGCGTGTGATTTAGAGATGTCCCGCATTTCAGCTTCTGCATCATAACGTCATATCATGTAATTCATATTGCGCGCAGAAAACCGCCACTAGCAAGCACCTGCCAGATAGTTTGTGGGAAATATGTTGCATATGGCAGAGACAATTACATTTACACTATTTGTATGACAATTAGAAGGATTATGTAATAGGCTGAAGGCTATTGACAGATGGCTTTTAAACATTAGGGGTATAGTGTAGCGAATGTCACGGAGTATTGCTTGCGCAATAACTGTTTATTGTGTTTCTTATTTCCCGGTTTGATGGTTTATGATTTTATGAGTGTTGAATTTCTTAGGGACGCCAGCATTGAAACCTGTCTAATCTGACTTTCATTGTTTTTAACACCGAGGGAATCCGTCTCCTGAAAAACAGAATTAACCATTTAATGTCACAGTGCTGTTAAATCTTTAGGTTGAACAGCAGATTCGAGTGTGTAACCAAGTATATTTTTATGTGAATTTTTGCGTCCACGCCATTGTATCTTTCGAACAAGCATCATCTTAAAACAGAACAGAAAAAATTGAATACTTTGATCTTTAATCATGGCCAAATAAAAACACAGAGAAGGTTTTTGTTGACTCTGGATTACAGTATAGCATATTTAATCTGCCACATTTTTTCGTCTGGTTTGTTTAAGACAGCTTTTCATCAGAAGTTCAGTCATGATGTAAAATATATATAGATTTTTCTGTTGGGTATAAGGTCACAGTTTATATTTTGACATTAAAAGAGACAAAATTAAAAATATACTTTCCCCTTGCAAAACTGAAAAATTAAATGTCAAGACTGATATTTAAATTAAATTTGACTGAACCTTTTTCCAAGCCAAAGGGCATTTTTTGAGATAATCCTTGACACAACCAGACAGAAACTGATGTTGGAACAATGTTAAGCTTTCATTGATTTGTCTACAAAGCAGGTGGAAATTGCATGCAACCGTTCTGGAATGTAAGCAATGTTACAACCTCAAGTCAGGAGAAGAAATAAGTGATGCTTCTTTTATCAATATCTAGTAGAATATGATTGGCCACCTTCATTGTCCCTTTGCAATGCTTCTCTGAAACTTATAGTTAATTGGTCAGAAATAGGAGATTCAAGATGAATATTGCTGTTATCTTTCATTAAAATGGAAAATGTTTAATTGGAAATTGCTTTGCACACAAAGGGATCTCATATGTTTCCTTTGCCAAAAATGCTTCTGAAGGAAATAAGTGCTTGTGTGAAGACCAGACTGTCTGTTTTTCAATTAGCATGTCGATTTGCTTCACTGCGTTGATTTTTTGTTTTGCTTGTTTCACTTTGGCTTTTTTAAGGACCAAAAAGCAGTTTAACATTCTGTTGACAGTCTGCAACTTAGAAAATGAAGAACTGATTGTATTCACACATAATATAAAGACTGTTTTCTTCTAATCCCTCTGACAATAAACTCAGACACTAAGAAAGAACAGGCTAAAAGTGCTGGTTAAGGTTATATTTTGGATTTTGGATGATGGGGTACAAATTATGTGAATAGCATTCTTTAATTCTGATGACGTTCTGAAAAACCACGTGGCAGAATCTTCACAAACGTTGTTATTGTCTTTGCAGTCCCTACCAATTTGTGTCTGTGGTCTTCTTCTGAGGGTCGCAGTAACGAACATCAAACGATGAATTCCAAGCAGATGGGTGGCAGTATACATTATTTTAGCTACTGCGCAGCCTTTAGTCATATTGTAACTGCATGCAACAATTACCACATGAACAATTTTTGGGCGCTCTCTCAACCAACAAAAACATCTCACGCTCTGTGATGAAAAAAGATTGTTGTGGTCGTATAGCTGGAGTATTCAGGCCCATGCATTTCACACTGAAAACAATAAAGGGGGAATTTTCCAGGCCAGTTAAGGTTTCATGACTTAGGTTTTGTCATTTCTTAGTTGTTAGAACACCCCCCCCCCCCCATATAATCTAGTACAGTTTGTTCCGACTCAAACGATTCATTGAACGCCAGGTTTTCAAGCATTGGACGACCCCTTGGGAATAATGTCCATCATGGCAGATCTGTGGTTGCTGTCATCTGGGTTTAGCTGTGTCCTGACAGGACAGAGGCCTGGTCTGAAAAGCTGCAGAAGGCCGGTATGATCAGAAAATGCACCATGTCACCCCAGAGCAGTGATATTTTCAGACTCTGAAAAGAAAACAAAAAGCACATCCAGGGTTTTTTAATTATCATTATCACAGTCAGGCCACCTTAATTGTTTACATGCGGTTCATGAAAATAAAACACAGCAGCTGCTTCATTAAGGTTTTATTTTTCTCTGCTGGCTGGTTTAGATGATTTAAAAACATGAAGTGGATTAGATAGATCTCAAGAAGCTACCGTGATTTGATTAATGACTTTAATACCTCCCACTTGACAGTAAGTAAAAAGTACCCTAACGTAGCTATGTAGGCCGCTTTCATTAAACTACGCTGAAAACGTTTATAAAGTGCCGTTATTCAATATCAACCCGACACGAGAACTCGGGGGCAACTGTGAGCGGAAATTAAGTTTATGGGAGGCTTACCATTCTCTGTTGCCTAGCACTGAGTACTAATTGCTACATCAGCTCAGAGGAGCATGAGGAAGGGATTCGTACGGGCAATTACAGAGCTGTGGTAGGTTTGCCTCGCCACAGTAATCACACCTTTTACTACAGGTGAGGTACAACTCTGCTGCCGGACTCAAGTTACTTACGCTATGACTCAGAAGAGTCAATTCTTACACTGACTCAACCCTCCGACATTCTTATTTTTAATGACGAGAAGGCTTGTTTTTCAATAAAGTATGTAATGAAAATAGATGTGTACGTCCATATTATTATTTTCATTAATGAAACAATTGGATGGAATGTACCTTCCAAACACAACTTAGCACATTATAGATTTACCATTTTTTGATTTATTTGCTTATTCAATATGCATTACATGACCCAAAAATCATTAGGAAATGAAGGATGTAGGGGAAAAAAACTCATCTTATTGAAAAATATGTGTTTAAACGCCCTAGTTCCATAAAATTATTGATAACTTGTTGCTGATATAACATGCTGCTGCTTTAGTAGTCAGATTATTTGGGACAGTGTTGCCCTGGTGTAAACAAGACAAAATTCTGCTAACTGCAAGGGGTTTCTTTGTCCTTTGGCTTCGGAACAACAAGAGGGGAAAACATTTAGTTAGAGGGGGAGATTTCTGCAAACGTAATGCCTGCTCTCAGAAGCCAAGATAGGTGTCACCCACTAACCAGCCAGAAGAGCATCATGTTAATCAAGTTATTCCTCTGAGCAGCTCGATACCAACAGGTCGGCGCTCAGGAGTTACGCAGTAACAATCTCTGCAGATGATGTTATTGCAAGAACCACTATGACATCAGCATTAAAGGGATACTTTCCTTATCTCCTGGTGTCTTGCTTGAAACCTTGAGATTGTTAAGAGTTTGTGGTTGCTGATAGTCCCAGCACAGACACTCCGCGTACGGACCAGGAATGCGTCGGGTCGGATGGCCCTCACGCAGCATCCAGATGATGCTTATCTTCAGGGAGGCAGGCGCAGTGTCACCAGTGTACTATGTACAGCAAGCTGGAGATGAAGACCCTGTCCAGAAGGGGAGCAGTTTCACAAACCCCGAATTGTCCTTTAATATCACAGAGCTTATATTCTAAACGGGCCTCTCTATATGAAGAAATTACATTTTGAGTCTAATTGCCATGCACCATTAAACATTATAGCTAAGCAGAAGCTCATTTTTCTTAATTTATCTGTTTATTTAGAAACCATATTATATGTGTGTTGATGTATTTCTCAAATGAGTGTCGAAACGTCTTCAAAGAACATGAAGTAGTGCTGGTTTAGCAAAACAAATTAAATGAACAGAGGGAAGAGGCAACTTTTCAAGGCAAGCGGTTCGCAATTTATTTGGTGGCATAATAGTTTGTTTGTTAAAGCGGCAGCTTGCGGCGTCCTGTTTACGCTTGTGTGATGTCTGCCCGTTCGCTTTGCCGCTTCCGCCCCCGTCCGCCTTCCCGACGTCTATGTGACGATGGTCTCTGACACCTTGTGATGTTCTCCTCTCTTTCAGCCACTCTGCAAGTGAACATCATACCCGCCCAAGGCGAGATCAGCGTGGGAGAGTCCAAGTTCTTTCTGTGTGAAGGTAGGCAAGATCTCGTGACAACTGTCAGTGATGAGAGTATCAAGTATTCTGAGTATCAGTCAAAGAGCTGAGACATATGAGGTTACAAGTGGCATCATCCGATGGGAATTCTCCTCTAAATCCCTCATCTAATTCCCCAAGCTGAATAATACCTAAGTGATCTGATGGCCAGCACCAGACACAAGTGTATGTGATTTGGTTGGGGTCGTTATTAGAAATCGTTAACCATAGTAGACTTTTTGTCATTTTGTCAAAACAAATTTTGTTGATCCATACGTCTTTTAACTGCTTATCTTCGCCCGGCCTGTGAAAGGGCCTGGAGCACGTACCAGCAAGCTTAGTGCTCACATCACTTAGAGGACACGCTGTGTATTTTGTCAAGCAAGTTATCACAAAGCACTTACCAACAGAATGTTTGCAGGCAGTCAGTAAAAATGAGGAAAGAAAATAATTTGCTGATATGCAACAAATTGACGCTTTGAAATAGGGCAGTTAGTTGGAATATAATGTCTATAAACACATTAAATACAAATTCCATTATAGGGATATGAAGGGGATTTCTTTGACATAGCTGACAGTAATTAGTTGACCATGGTCAGGTGGTTGGAGGGAGAGTAGTGAGGGTGGATCGGTGCAGATGATTGGCAGTTGACCTGGTCATGCTGAATATTCCTCACCCATTGGTTAAGTTTTGAAAAGCATGATTAGCCTGTCTACTTTACCTAGCTTGTGGGAAGTGTGGTAGGATGTCTCATCACGGTTGCTACATTACGTGTCCTTGAATGCTTGGGGTCTCTTTCAAGCTATCGGTGATGTGAAGGAAATCGACTGGTTCTCCCCGAGTGGCGAAAAGATCCTGCCGAACAGACAAGACATCAGTGTCACCCGAAATGATGACTCCTCAACGCTCACCATCTACAAGGCCAATATCGACAATGCCGGCATTTACAAATGTGTGGCCAAGGATGGCAACATGGAAACTCAGGCCACGGTGACCGTGAAGATCTATCGTAAGCACTGCCTTTCTGTCCCCGTGTTTTTATATGCTTCTGCTGATTCTTTGCATCGCTTCTCATCAGTGGCTGCTGGATAACGTGGTAAAAAGCATTTGAGGTCTTAGACAAAGGAGGTCTGGCTTGAAGCTGCAATTTTATGGCCTACGAATAAAGGCCGAGAAAGATTTTTTGCCATAATTGAAATATTATACATTTTATCAGCTCCTGACATTTATGTCTGCTGTATTAAAAGGCAGAGAAACTTATCTGCAGGCCCACAAATGCCAGTAGGCAGTGATGGGAGGGGAACGTTTTTTTTTTTTTTTGGTCATGCTCTCCTACAAAACAAGACCACCATACTGAACAGAAAATCACAGGCACATTTTATCTTGCAGAAAAGCTCACGTTCGAGAGTGCCCCCTCCCCTCAGGAGTTCAATGAAGGTGAAACCGCCAACATTGTCTGCGATGTAGTCAGCTCGCCTCCCCCCACGATCATCTGGAAACGCGGAAGTGGCAAAATTCAGATGGACAAAGATGGTGAGCCGTGGCGCCGGCCTGTTTCTCTTTGCCTTTTCGTCTCTTTGTTTGTTTTCGTCTTTCTCTATCAGTTGTGTATTCCATCTCGCTAACTGCTTTCCAGCTTGTCCCCGAGGAGCCAGCAAACAGCCATGCATCTTGATCACTGACATTTTTCTGACAGACAGGACTGAGCGTGAATAGGAAGCCAAAACTGGATTTTCGTCTGCTTGTTTGTTTGTTTGTTTATTTTAGTTGCTTTGTGTTTCGATCAAATTAGGAGATTATTTTGTATGCATGGCTATTTCTAAATGTAGAAAAAGGTTTGTAAGAAAGTAGAAACTTGCAGTGCAACTGATCTATTTTCCCGTTTTGCATTTTATTTGGAACAAACTATTTTAACCTTAAAGCATTCCTCCTTCCCGAACTGCTGGAAGACACAAGGCGACTGCAGCTGTGTGGTGTTTTGGCCGTTCTCTTTGTTCATGGGTCTATGCCTTTTTTTTTTCTTTTCCCTGCCACAAAGCCACTAATTACAGACACGTTGCAAAGCGCCCACGTAAACAGCACTTTCAGCATTTCTCCAGTTAACCTCTTGCACTCTCACCTTGCCCCGCATGTGTACGTCGATCAGCAGCACACGTGGGTAGCATTTGGCACTGTTATTGCCGAGGTCAGCATTTTATGGCGAGCTTTGCCAGGTTTTCCTGGCCTTGCGGTTTACTGCAGTGTGTTCCAGTTCCAGTGAATGTTACTATTGAAATCCGATATATATTACATTTCAGCTATTTAGCAGACACTAAGTGACGTACAGTTGAGTAAGCAGGGTCAGTCGGTTGCTGGAGCAATCGGTGTTAAGGGCCTCGCTTAAGGGCCCAATGGTGAAATCGCTGTCGACCACAGCAATTTAAACTGGTAACCTTCCCATTGTGGGTATGGATTCAAGGATTCTAAAGCCATATTGTCATTTGTGCAAGTACAAGTACAATTAAATATGTGCATGCATGTGCATGCATGCCCTCCTGTAGACTTTTATGTGTGCATATAATATTTTCATGGCCTGAGATTTTATAACCACTCTGATTATTAGCACAGCACTTGAATTTTAGCTATTTAATGATAGTTGCTTCCAAGTTGCTCAATAGCACTCAACAGGTGAACAGTTTTTAAAAATAAACATTCAGAAGCTCTGGAAAAAGCAAAAGAAACACAACCATAAGCCAGTCTTTATATAAATAATGCATTAGACATGTTCTTAATGGTTCCTCAATGAATTAAGCAGTAAGCGGCAGTTTATAGGAGATTTTGTATGTCATGAGCTAAGATTTTTTTATTGTACATATTATGTATGTTTATTTTAAACTAACACATGGTTATTCGGGATTGGGTTTTGGTTCTAAGTTCCAAATACACAATACGAGTGCAGTCCTGATGCATTTTCATTATCTGAGCCGACAAGAACCCATCAAGTGTGATGAGAAGGATTGCTCACAAGGAATCAGGGTCTCCAAACTACAGCTGAAGGTCTCTCTCTCCCCCCCCCCCCCCCCCNCCGACAAGAACCCATCAAGTGTGATGAGAAGGATTGCTCACAAGGAATCAGGGTCTCCAAACTACAGCTGAAGGTCTCTCTCTCCCCCCCCCCCCACCCCACAGTACGGTTCAAGGTCCTGGACGGCAACCACCTGCAGATTCGAGGTATCAAGAAGACAGACGAGGACGATTACGTCTGCGAGGGCCGTATCATGGCCAGGGGGGAGATCGACTTCAAGATCATCAAGGTCGTCGTCAACGGTGAGCTTTCTCTCTGCCTCCTTCCATCTGCGGGAGACTGTCTGACGACTGAATAGTGGAATCCTGTTGCCAGGAAACACTGCCATCTTTGCTTTTTATTATTAATTTGAGGCCAAGTTTATTTGATGTGATATTTAAAAGCATCAGTTATAAGCGAAATCATGCTTGTATTTCTTTCCAATTCCCAATAGTATTTTAACCAAATTTTTCACAGAGCTTAAGATTTCACCCATTTATTGAATTTAGTTTATAGTACAGCTACTTAATTAGAGTCTTTAGGGGCGAAACAGCAAGGAAGTTTTAAACCGCTGTAGTGCTGAGCCAAACTGCTGTCACGTGCGCAGATTTCTGTGTACGTGTCCATCCCGCTTTCCACATCTCTGCTGTCCACAACGTTGGCGTTCCTGCTAAGCCACTGTTCCCGATCTCTGCAGTTCTCCCGACGATCCGGACCAGGCAGGCGGAGGTCAACGCCACGGCGGACGTCGGGCAGTCCATAATGCTGGCATGTGATGCGGATGGCTACCCGGAACCGACGGTGACATGGGCCCGGTAAGGACAGGCAAGCAAAGACTAGCTCTGCCCAGCCGATGGACCAGAATGTCCAAGTCCAGCCCTGAGTTCCTTAAGCCGGTCTTTGAAACTGTTGGTTCAGCATCGATGTTGGTATTTCGACAGGCCGGAGATTTTGACTGAGAGTGAAAAGAAACAGATGAAAAAAGGGAGCGGAGAACGGGGGAGGGTGGTGTGTGAAAATGAAAACACAGATCAGAGGATTCCTCAGCCTGGGGGAGCGGAAACTGAAGGAACGGCCACTCGACAATTTGCCATTTGTTTTTAGGGGGGCTGTAGACAGCGCTGCCATTTAGCAGCGCGGCGGGGGGGCGGGGGGAGCGGGTGGGGGGGGAACTGCGGGGTGGAGCCGCTGTGTGGTCTCTGTTCCCGCTGCCATGGGGGTCAGGGCCCTCGTCCAAAGATCCCAAAAAGTTGATTAGCATCCTAATCAGGGTCTGTGAGAGAGACACACAATTCCTCCCTTACAGATCACCGTAAAAGACGCTTCGTCTCACATTACATTCACAGTGGTCCTTTTTTTTTATTAGTTTAAGAGTCCCCAAGTTTCATACAGATGTAATTTGGCTAATCGCTCCGTAGATTAACGTAATTCTTTTGGACTTTATACACCCGTCTGGGGGGAGGTTGTATTGCAAACAGTCCTTCAGCAGTGGGAAGTGAAAAAGTGACCTTCCTTCCATTTTTGCGTTTTTTTATCGAAAAGGGTCAAAAACGTGAGTAAAAGAAAGCAAAGGGTTTGTTTTACGGAAGATAAAAGTGGAGCTTACTCACCTGAACCCGTCTCCTTGTCTGTTTCTGTAACCCCCCGCCCCCCCAGCAACAACATTGTCCTCGAGTCAGGCGATAAGTACAGCATCAACGACGATGGCTCCGAGTTGCTAATAAAGCACGTGAGGAAGGTGGATGAAGGGGATTACGCATGCATCGCCAAGAACAAGGCAGGCGTGAAGACTGAGGAAGTCAGCCTGAATGTGTTTGGTAAGGGCAGCTGGGTATAGTGCAAAAAATACCCCACTCACTGTATATCACGCTATGGAGCCTATTTATGTGCGTGAGTGTGTTTCCGGTGGCCCCCACCATCCCTGCAGCGGTCGTCTTATTTACATGTCGGCCGCGTGCCGATGAAACGGCCCGCCGCCGCGGCTCGCTGGTTAGCGTTGCGTACAAACGCCGTGCCGCCTCCCTTTGCAGTGCAACCCAAAATCACGTACTTGAAGAACCAGACGGCTTCTGAGCTAGAGGAGCAGATCACGCTGACCTGTGAGGCTTCGGGGGACCCCACTCCTAGCATCGTCTGGAGCTTCGGCCGGCGCGTCTTCAACGAGGGAGAGCAGGTGCGGGGGTGCGGGGGTGCGGCGGCAGAGAGCCAGGGGTCTGTGACATGCTGAAGAATGGGTTGGGGGGGGGGGGCACCAGAATGGACAGGGCACTCCTCCTCTCTGCTGAATATTGAGCGGACCCCCAAAGCTAGCGCGTCAACATCCCACCCATGATGTCCATTGATCTGCTCGCAGGTGCCCCCTAGTGTAATACAACCAGAGCGCAAGCAGCACATTCAAGTCAGCACGCTACCTCTGTGGTCTCCGTTGGTCATTTCATACGTTGGTTTCTCCCTTGCAGGCTCCATATAACAGGATTTATCAGGTACGAAATCAGTCAGGTACAGTAAAAAAAGAAAAAAAAAAAAAACCTTTTTTTTTTATTGCTGATGTATATTCAGATTAAAACAAAACCCTGATAGAGTCAAATAAATGTGAGAGAAGACATTTGTTTGGTTTTCTAGAACCCTGTAACTCCCAATAACCTCTTAACAAGTGATACGATGCAGTGTAAATCAGACAAGCACTTATGGTCCCTAGATTAATGATCTTATCAGGGTTCGAGAGTTTAATGTTGCAAAGATGTTGTATGATCGGCAGGAAGTTAGCCATCCCTAACAGAATCCCCCTGGATTAAAAGCAGATCACGTCAACAGTGAGCCTAGACTTTCGGTTTTCTTTGGACCCTTTATCTGTGGGGTGAAAAAGAAAACGAGAGAAACAAAAAAGTAAAAACAAACAAATTGCATTGCCATCAGTCCAGCCATGTTTCCATCCCGCCCATGCTGCCATCGTCACGGCGTGTCCATCTGGTGCATGAGTTGGGGGCCGGGGGTATCCCCTTGGCATGCCCGGGCCACCCCCAACGGAAAGTCCCCTCGATCGTTTTTTTTTTTTTTTATCCCCCGGCTCCATTGTGCGGCATCTGTGTTCGCAGAGGGAAGAGAGACGGCACGGAAACACCAACCCATCCCACCCCCCCCCTCTCCTCCCTTGGCCCCCCTCCCCACACCGCCCAGCCCGCCTTGCTCAGCGCCAGCCGCTCCGACAAAAATAATTAGCAGTTATGGAGCCATTTGGTTTCATTGCATTTCCATCGCCGCGGAATCGGGCGGCAGCATCCGAGGATGGACTGCGCCCGCGCTCATGATCAATATTCAGCCATCTTGAGAAGCTCCTCTCTCTTTCTTTGGGAGCGAGAGGAAGAGAGAGTGAGAGAGAGTGAGAGAGAGTGAGGCAGAGAGTGAGAGAGAGAGACTGTCTGCTCCAGAAGGAAAATTCCGCCTGTAGCCTTGCAGTGCCAAGGACAGTGAAGGACGGTAATCCCCCCTGCTAATTATTTTTGAATCTTGCCGCTCTTCTCTGGTGTTTCTGTTCTGCTAGCAGCATGTTCTCTTCTCGCCATTGCTTTGGGTGTGATGAGCCGTGGGGGGGCCGGGGGGGTGGGCAAAGGGGGTCCGATTTAGACCACCTCCGACAAGCTATTTTTAAGTGTTCTTCTGCCTCACTTTAAGTACACAGCTCTGTGTTCCGTCACCATAACCAGCTGCCTCCGTTTTGATGCTGCTGTGCTCTTATTTTTACCCCCTTTCTAGGTGGATTTTAAGGTCCTTATTGTACTTTGTTTCCAACCCGACTTGGATGGTTTAAACACCGACTGCAATTCTTAAGTATTCTCTTGTGATGCTAGGAAATGACCTGCTTCTGGGGTTCCGCCGGGTTTACCGCCGTTAGTGACGTGTCTCAGCTTCCACTGTCACAATTAAGCAACCCTGAGTCACGTCTCCAGACTCGGTCGGAAGCCTCATGGCCTCACCTGTCACCCGGACTAAAGACACTTTAATTACTGAGCACATCGATCAGTCCACAAGACAGCAGAGCGAACACAGTCCTTTGTGATTAAGGCAGTATTTTCTTTAGCCCTGGAGGACAGTTGACTTTCACTACTCTTCCCCTACCTTCCGTGCAGAGTCGTGGTGTCAAAAAACGCAGGCATCGCAACAGACAGGAATGTACAGTTTATTCTGAATATTATAAAATGTACATTCATACTGCGGCAGTAGCTAGCATGCGCTGTTTCCCATCTCTGCCAAACTGAAAACTGGTGTTAGACTGCTTGGGAACAGCCCACTAATAGCTAAGAATAGGCAGCTATATTTAACTATATTGTTGTGTTTAACTGTGTTAGGAAATAATCGAGCATCTAGCACCATATTCAGGAGATTATCGCAAGTAGACGATGCTTAATATTAAACCCACAGAGCCATGTTGTAGTCTTAGAATGGTAATCTTTAGGATATGAATTCCCGATATCGATCTCACACCATTCAAGACTTCAGACCCTTCCATCTGCTGCCATTCTGCCTGCGTGAACGTACCTAGCCCCCTGTCGCCCCCTGTGGCTTTATCAGGACATGCAGAATGAAACGGGCTGAGCCTGACCAGACTGCCCTTAGCATTAGCATACCAGCAACAGTCGGGAAAGAGCTGAATGAAAGGGCATCCTTAAGCAGCGACGGTGACTCACGGGAAGACAGATAAGAGAGTCTCTACCGAATATAGGTTTTTTTTTCCAAAAAGGCTTAGATCGATGTGAGGGATTTGGGATGAGGCCTTTTCCAAAGAGGTTCAGCCTGTGGTGGCGGTGGATTTTAGGGGGGCTGGTCCAGATCTCTGCACACTGCTCCTCGTCAGCCGAAGAGGAAACACAGCCTGGCAGGCTGGGGTCCTTCGAAGGCTTGCGTGTATCTGTCTTCAAGCCCTGCCGCACCCCCCCCCACCACCCTTCCGTCCATTTCACGCCTGCATGCCTGCATGTGAAAGCGTGCGGTTGGGCTGCCTGTGCATCAGTCATGAGGTTTTTTACGGAAGATGTCCGACGTGTTACATCATGGTTTAATTTTTATTCATCATTCATGCATGTTACTGTCCTATTAATATGGCACACGCTCACATCTCACGAATCTCACGTTACACCCATGTGTGAACAACTCCAGTGTCTCCATGGTGTCTGATCTGAGAATCCAGTTCTTCCCCTTAACAAATAACTTGACAGACAGAGTTGGGTAATTCAAGTCCAGAGAGTAAAAGTCCAGACAGACTGCAACTTTTTATGTTCAGCTGGTTGGTTGAAACAAAGTCTTGGTCTGGACTCTCGGGACCTGAATTACCCAATTCTAGTGACAGGTAAGGTAATGGTTGAGTGGGGGCGCTGGGCCCAGTTTAAAGGCACGGGACAGGTTGAGTGCAGATTAGAGAGTCAACAAGGCTGTGCAGTTGACACGATCACCTCCGGTGGATTCAGTTAATCAAGGATCCGGTCCAGGCACTTGGAACACCCCTGTCTGCTACTTATAGCTTAGTCAACCCATAAGGCTGAATGGATCACTGGTCTTGGTTGGTAATCCACTGACTGACATATGGGGAGTTCGTGCAAATATTCCGCAAAAAGTCAGGTTTGACTTGAACGTTGTGTAACCGCAGTGTGTGATGTGAACGAAGAAGAACACAAGGAGCCGGCGTGTCGTGACGAAGTCTGACAGAGTGTCTGAGGCACAGACTCAGAAATAGAGAGACTGAACACGGCGATGTGGTCTTGCTTCATCTCTATGATATCTTGCATTGATAAAATGCATTTGAGCCAACTTTCTCTGATCAACTGAACTTTGCAGTCCAGTTCTACTTAAGACACAATATCTCTTACATGCGGCAATTAATTTTATTGTTCACAACATAGGAAGGGAATGGAGCTTACGTTTGAATGGACATGTTTTTATTACAGCACAGATTCCGCCAAAGTATCCCTTACGGAATTGTAGCTCCGAAGAATGCGTGAAAATCCGCCGACACGTGACGCCTGTTTGTAAGAGGCGATTTCCAATCGTTGATTCGCAGTCACTGTAGCATCCTGCCTCCTAATTATATGTATAACATGAGTTATTATTTAATATTTTGCAAATGGAACCCTGCGGACGAAACTGTAGTGACACACTACTGCGGAATGCTGTCAGAGGCGAGCATGCGTTAGAAAGCAGAAGTGTGACCATGAAAAGCAAAGCAAAGGCCTGATTGACACATAGGCTGGACAGACAGGAAGCGCACATCTGCGGCCCTTTCCAAGATCTTAATCCCGTGACAGCATCGCAACAGCCGGCTTTCAGGAATGCCATCTCCATGGGAAGCCTTCTGCCTTCCGTTAAAGCCAGGCTCCCATCCGTCGGAACGCAGGGCCCCCTAATGGCGAGACCTGTCAGATTTGAGCGTGCCTTGGTCATTCCCATCATGTGTCTCCTCATCCCAACTTCCCATAGTTATCCATTCGTATAATTTTATTTATTTATCCATGTTACAGGCCAATTCATCATGTTCACAGAGATCAGCACGCATATTCATGATAGCTAGAAAAATAAAATTAAAATAAAAAAATTATTAAATAAACAAAAATCAATGAAATACAATTTAAAGTAAAAATGACCAAATAATGCCTACTATTATCAAACAAGTCTACTATTATCATAAATATTCATAAACTACTGTTTAGTTTGCAGAGGCCTAGAGGTAATATAGTATTCATTTTAGAAACTTAAATAGGATTAATAAACATCACTAGTGTTTGCCTTTAAGTAGTTAACAAAGTTTGAAAATGTAGTCAGTGACAAATTACCGGAGGGATAAAACTGATTACCTATTAGAGTGAGAATCCTTTGGAGATGGAAGGGATATTAAAGTTGACTAGAGAAATGAGTCTTTCAGTCTGCAAGTTAAATGCATATTTGAAATTAATTTGATAATCAAAGTGTACATTAGCACCACTATTTAACTTTTAAAGGTACTTGTTCCATTGCTGGGAAGACAGTTTCTCTCTTAGATGTACACTTAATGTCCTTCCCCCCTTAATTAACATCTGTTTTATGTTGGGGGGGGGGGGGTACTGTTCCCGCATAAGCTTGGTTTTAATAACAAGCCTGAAATTGGAATCCATTACGAGGTTGGAGCGATATACGGGGCCATACGTTTGGCAATTCCCAGCATCCCCGGCCCTTTCATCTGAGAGGCGGCCCTATGCTGCATCGATGTGGCTCCGAGTTCCCACGACACGGACAGAACCGCCACCAGGCCCTGGGGAAAAAAAAAAAACAACAGTGAGTGCCTGTTAAAGGCTACAAAAGACCCTTTACAGTACATCCACCCAGCCCTGACGTAGAAATTACACAGATTACTTTCGAAGTAAAGGCTGGCTGGAGTAAATGATTCCACTAAGCAAAAAAAAAAACGTTACATTTTAATATAAATCATTATTTTAATATACTATAATAAAGTCTGTTTTCTGGGTATACATATCCAGCTCTATAGACAAAGTCTAAGTCAACTTCATTGTCACTGTGCACATGCAAAACAAAATAAATGAATGTCTATGTAACTCTGTAGCATTGATTGTGATTCCACATTATACAGACTAAAAAAAAATTTACAGCATCAAAATTTTTGATGAGGCCAGATTTGTGATATATTACTCAGCCTCTAATCAATGCGAGACTCCTCAAAGCCACAAAGAATTTCTTTAATGCCGTCCCCCTTAACTGCGAGGTAATCTCATCCAATCTCTCACCCTCGACACAGTGTCCATTGGCGACTCGTGTGGGGAGGAAGCTTTTGCTCCTCTGACCGCGCGTGATTACACGGGCCATGCCGACTAGCGTAACACGTGGTGGCGAGAGTGTGACCCACAGCTTCGTAGGGGTCCAAGCAGTGTCACCGTGGAGCCAGAGGGACACATACATGGCCAGAAAACACGGTCAAACAGACCACATCTCCACATAATGTGGCTAGGAAGTTTCTCCTTAATAACGACAGTGATCAGTTAAGAAATTTTCCATAACCTCTTATGAGTCATTATCTGTATTAGACCTAAAATGTGAGGATGTTTTATTAATCAGGTCAAATTTATTTCTCAGCAAATACAAATTCTAGAACAATCTGATATGCAAAGCGCTTGTTTATAAATATGAAAATATTTGTTTGAGGTTCGGCAATTTTGTTGAAAAAGGAAGTTATGGACTGAAATTACAGTACAGGCATTAAATAGTTTAAATTATTCTGTCCCAGAAGTAAAACAAGTTTCCTTAGGGCTTAGTATGATTTTAATTAGGGACAGTTTAGCCTTGATACCACTGTAAGCTCTTTAGATACTCCATTGACATAAAAAATCATATTAAATATAGTATAAACTTTAATTAATCAAATGGTTGAATTAGCCCAGTCAAATAGATAATTACTAAAAAATCTTTCGGTGTGCATGTAATGCCTTGTGTAGCAGTTAATACATCGTCAGTAAAGATGTGTTGCTTAAAACGAAATTCCAGGCATTGATTAACTGTTTAATATACCTGTTAAAACTGTATGCGTGAATTAATTGAACTGTAATTGTGTGAATATGCTAATTAACATGTTTGTTGTTTTTTTTTTACTGAACACATGCATCTTTTAACATGAGCTTATATCACTGGACCACAACAGGTAAAATGCGGGCTGCATTCTTAGAAAATTATGCATGTGCATTTCAGTGCAGTGCATGCCTGAACTGTGACTGAAGATTTTTAAGGATTTTTTTCTTTGTTTCGCCTTTTTTTTGTTCCTTTGTTTTCTCCAGGCTTCCTGGACTCGACCCGAGACCCACAAGGTATGGCTACTACTTACGTAGCCAGACTTTAGTTTACTAATGTTAGCGCCTCCCTGTGGTAGGCCAGAGTAGGGGTGTTGGCCCTCCCCAGCCAATCCAAACCCAGAAACTCCAAACCTGACAGTTGGTAACCTTGGTAACTAATAGACTTGGTCCCCAAGGCCGTGCCCTGGCATGGCAGTCATCTTGATGTCCATGGTGACTAATAGGTGGCTGGTCTCTCTCGCTCACCCGCTCTGGGATGGCCGTCAGGAGCAGGGAAAGCCAACACTCCTTTCTCTGCCATGGATTCATCCAGGGATGTTTGGATTTGCCTAGCCATGGACTAACCAATTTAACCAACCCAAACAGTTCATCTACCACTTCAGGCTTACAGAGGTTCACTCATCCATTATCCAGTTTAATCTTGAGAGCCTGTATATCCAATTAAAAAGATTTATACACATTTACTTTTTTTTATGAAAATCAGACGCTTTATAAAGCTATTAAATGTTAGTTTCTCAAGTTTCTAATACTTCTCCTGCACAGGAGACAATGGTTTCTCTTTGTTTTGATTTCAGAATTACGTCAAGATTTGTTTCTTGTTCTGTAGCATATGGGGCGTGTGGGATATTTTTGAAAATTCAGATTCCACTGGCACATTGGTTGTCATAATTTAAAAAAAAAAGATGATTAAAGATTTGTTTCCTGTCAAATCCCACAAACAAGCGCTTAGTAAACATGGGCCAGAAAGAGGTGTCATATTCCTCTGGGGTAGCTCCGGGAAGTCTCCGGGAATACACAAATAGTTTCAGGTTCTGTCTTTTTGCAAATTTCCAGTGTATTAACGAGGAAGTGACTTATTGTTAGTTGCTAAATACATGAGAAGATATACTGTCATGTATAAAAGATTGACACCCCAGATGATGTGGATGCAGAAGATGGATGGATGGACTGACATGTACAACAGTGACTGCTAAACTGAGGAGAAATACTGGAAATAATTCTTTCAAAAGCACAGATCACCAAGATCGTAGTTAGATACTTCACATAGTGGACATAGTAAATGGGGTAAATCGAGCTTCTGCGATGCCAGTTTGATTCCATTTTGCATCAGCACAGCATTGTTGAGTATCACGGGTCACTTGTGTACATCCCCCCCCCTCCCCCGCTGCCCATCTTAGATGGTGCATCCAGCCAATGACATGGGACAGATTATAGATAGCGGCTGACTTGTAGTTCTGAGAGCCGGAACCCTCTGTACCTCACATGTGATCGCCTCCCATTCATTGCAGAGAGGAACAAGCACTTAACTGCGTTCAGTGGCACTGAACACACACACACACACACACATATATATATATATACTGTATATAAAATTCAGGGTTTCTTGGTGTTAGGGACCAAGAATCACTACCATCCATTCCCAGTGTTTCTTTAGGGGCGGGGGGGGGGGGGGGCTCAATAGTAAGATGCGTCAGAGAGTTAGGTGAGGAATTGTATTGAGCTGAGAACCCCCCCGACGTCACTTAGCTCTCCCACCAGCCTGGTTCGCTGCTAAGTCGGCTCATTTCAAATCGAGTTACTACAGGCATTACTGCCTGCGGCGTCTGTGGTGGGGGCGGCTAGTCATGGGGCGGGGGGGGGGGCAGCTTGGATTACACAGGTTACACCCGGCTGCCCAGACTGTGCCGGGACCAAATTGTTGCCCGATTGGCCTGAGTCTGCTGCCCGCCTTGGCTTAGAAGAAATGCCTCAGCTAGTTACGAATCTGAATCTGCCAACCGTAATGCCCTACAGTCTGTTATTGTCACATCAGGTGACACAAAGCTGCTTTCCCCGTTATTATCTGGGCAGTATGTGGGTCAGAGGGTGAGGATGCTATGCATGGTGAGCGGTACATCGCTGGTTTGAATCCCGTGGTCAGCAGAGTGAGGTTTCCTTTGGGCCCGGTTGCTTCTGGGCCAGTCTGACTCATCTCAAAAATGGGTGTCACTTTGGATTGAAGCATATACTAAATAATTACAATGTAACTCACCCTCTTTTGATGATGAGTCTGCGGAATTACAAAAGTAGTCCCGGTCAGATCCTTTGGGTCACTGTATAACTGTACAATAGGCAGTTAAACAAGCTAAAAAGGAGCCACTGCTAGGCTATTCATGGTCTGGCCCCGGAAAAAAAAATCCCAATAGTAGGAGGAGGAGGAAGAGAACTTGGTCTGCCTGACTGACAGGCTTCTTCTGTGTATGTTCAGGAAGTGCTTTAATGAAACCAGCCCCCCCACCCCCCCCAGGGGTTCATTTTCCCAGGCTCCTGAGCAGAGCTGTAGTCGGCCCCCCTGCAGGTATCCTGCTGTCGGAGGTTTATTATAATTGCACCGCCGGTGCCCCGGTGCATTTATCCTCTTATCCGGGCCCCGACTCTGCAGCGGTTGGCGCGGCCCGCAACATTCACACATCCGGGGAGGAGGAGGAGGAGGAGATAACGGCGGCAGAGCAGGAGCAGCCACAAGGAGGCGGCGGGGGGGTGGGGGGTCACATCAGATATTGGTGTAGGTATAAATCACATGCCAGCATGAAGAGGTCGGGACCGGGGGGGGGTCTGCACACCATCGCTCGCGAACAATAGAGCTGCTCTTACCATTTCCCGGGGAGGGAGTGTCCTGCGGAGGGACGCCACACGCTTGTCGTCCCACCGCCCACCTATCGTCTTATCAGCACAACACCAAGGTCCCTGAGTCAGGTCCGGCCCTGTGAGAGCTGGTAACCTTCCCTTTCTTTCCGTCCTTCTGTTTGGGTGGTAAAAAGACAGTTTCCGAGGGCAAGCAGGGTGGGGGGGGGGGAGTCGTGAGTAGTTATTTTAATATGTCAAGTGATGGTGTGTCAGCCTGCATGACTAATAAATACATGGAATTCATCTCAGTTACAGGCTGTGTGTTGGGATTAGAACAGGGCAAGCCGGTGTGGCTGGTCACATATGGGTATGGCTCAGCCTGTTAGGACGCTGCGTGTATGATCGCAAGGTCACTAGTTCAAATCCTGGAGTCAGCGGAGTGGTTTTCTTGTTGGGCCCTTGAGCAGGGCCCTTAACTGCCAGTTGCTTCCGGTACTGTCTGACCCGGCTTCCAATTATACATTACTTACGATTAGAGCATCTGCTTAAAAAAAACACATCGTAATTTTCTCGATTATCGTAACGTCAGCCAGTGCCGACTGACGGCCTGGCGTTCTGTATAACAGCGGCCACCAGCCGGCTCTGTCGCCGTGACTCTAGGTGTTACGGTCTCAACACGCTGCCCTGTGACCTCCTTGTGGTCTTCTGTTACAACACACCGTAGGGGACGACTTATGGTACAGAATGTGCACTGCAGCATGCGAATCAACCTCTATTCAGATAATCTGCACTTCCCTCTCTCTTTTGTTATATCTCAGCATTTCGAAAAGATAAAATGTAGAAGAAAGTGCACGTGTATTTTTACAGGGAATTGTCATTAACGCTCTTGTCGTAATAAGGATGTTGATTGTTCAGAGCAAGAATGAGTTTATTTAAAGGAACATGAATTATGCTGTCAGAGTTTTAGACATTGCTTTGAAGTATATGTAATTATACTGAAATTGTTTCAAAATAGCTCATAATGCCAACATGACAATGGCAGACAGTGGGTGTGTTTGGGAATTGTTACCTGGAAATTGTTTACTTTCCAATTAACATGCAGCTGTGATCAGTGCTGTTGCGCCAGCATTTATAATAATAATCGTGTTCCTTGGGTTTTTTTTTTTTAAAGTTACAAGAGGCTGCTAATATAAATTGAAGTCATTAAGTGTTCTGCAAGTCTTTGATTGTTTGCGTCCTTTTTCAATCTTTCTGGTCAGCAGGCTATGCTTCTGAATCAGGATTAATCAAGCGGTAGTGCTGTCCTTTAATGTGGGGGGGGGGGAGGTGAATGAAGAAGGAGCTGCAAGGACTTCACTCACAGCCATGGCGACGTGAGCCTTCCAGAAAGAATCCAGTGCTCCTCACACGATGACGGTTCTGTAACTGCCGCGCTGTATGGCCGCAGGACCGAAACGAGTGTCATTAACATAATCGTTACAATGTCACAGACACTTCAGAGGTTTGACTCAGGGCTGTGTAAAGGGGGCGGCGCCTCAGTCCAAGGTGATTGCCCCCTCCCCTGTCACTCACCAATTCAAAACATATTGGCTAATGATAAGGTTGGCCCTTCTCATGCTCGCCCCCCCCCGCCTTAAAAATCCTATACAGTTGCCCCTGGTTTGTCTGAACTCGCTCCTCTAAGTAGCACTGCCAGTCTTCACAATAACGGGAAGTTTATAGGCACAAAGGTGCCAAGTTTATGAGTAGTGGCAGGCTGGCCGATATGGGCCCCGTTGTGAGTAAAACTGAACCTAGCAATGAAGCATCTAGTGTTGGTCCAGACTGCCTGCAAGCAGAAGGCCTGTTTTTCATTATATGATTTGATACACAAAGATGAAAAAATACCTCTCCGCTTTTTTTTGCATACATATATACAAAGCAAGAAAAAAGGTTTTGACACGCAAGTTCTGAGTTGTTGATTTGATTGGGAATAAAGGGAAGTTTCATCACGCTCAATGCTCTCTCTCTCTGTTTCTCTCTTGCGCCCCCTAGAGTCTGGATGACAATGTGGAGGTGCGCAGCCATGCCCGTGTCTCCTCCCTCACCCTGAAGTATGTCCAGTTCACTGATGCTGGCCAGTACCTCTGCACGGCACGCAACCCCATTGGGCAGGATGCCCAGGCCATGTACCTGGAAGTACGCTGTAAGGACCTGGAATTTTGTATACGCAATGTCTACTGGTCTACCTGATTTGTTCCTGGGTCTGAGAGGACAGCCCACTTCGTCAGAGCTGCCAATCAACTTAATGACTGCGAGGTGTGGGACAGCAGTAGAGAGCTCAGTGGTTAAGAAATGAATAGAGTGATTTGGAGGACACAACCGCATGTAATCTAAACCCATGTGGGCTTTATAGAGATTATACTAATGTTTCTCAACTCAGTCTTTGGGGACCCGCAGGCATACCTCAACCGAACAATCAAGAACGAATCAAACAATCAAGAACGAATCGAACAATCAAGAACGAGTCAAACAATCAAGAACGAGTCAAACAATCAAGAGCACCAAATAGCTGGTACCAGTGTGTTGGGTCCTGGAAGGTAGCAAAAATGAGGAATGTCTGAGGGTCCCCAAGGCCTGGGGATCCATACGGGTTTCAGGCAGAATGACAAAATACATCTCAACCCAGTCCTCCGGGAGCCCCAGGCACACCTGAACCAAATAATCAACGACAAACCAAACAATCAAGAACGAATCAAACAATCAAGAACAACGAATACTTGGTATATAAGTGTATTGGGACCTGGAAGGGAGCAAAACCAGGGATTGTCTGGGGGTCCCCGAGCACCGGGCTGAGAAACACAGGAATAACCCAGCAAATGAATGAAATCGCTTTGTGTAGAAACATCGACATCGATAATGATGTCACATATCACACTCGAATACAATTACAGCAATGAAAGAATAACAAGAGCCGCACTCGGGGATAAAACACTGGAACACTCCAGATGACACGTCAGCGAGGCTCACAGCCCATTATGAGCGAAGCGATCTCAAACTTTAAACACCGCCTCGTGTCACGACCGCATTTTTCTTGCCCTAACTTTTAATCTGTAGCGTCGTCACTCGAGTACGATCGAATTTTCTGCCTGACGAAACGGCATGCTAGCCACCCAGATGTAATTTAGGGGATGAAAGATACAGAGTAAAGACATTAGCGCTATCTGATTTTACCGCACTCTCCAGGCTGCTACCCCGTCCCGTGAAGTTGCAGTTCACTTTCATTCTTTGGCAAACACCATTTCGAAAATGACAGGTAACAAAAGGCTAATTGGATTAATTTTCCAAGTGCCTCAAACAAGCAGTTATGTGCGATAGCATCAGAATACACAATTGATAAAATAGATTTGATTGCAATTAGGCAGTGTCTGAGTCGTTGGGTTCTGGTTCTGCGCATGGCAAGACTTCGTAATCGGGTATAAAAAGATTCTCTGTCTGGGCCGGGGCTGAGGGCACACGTCCGATGGCGCCGAATGACATCGTCCAGTGAAAACTGATCCCAGATCAGACAAAATTGCTGACGCTGTGGGCACTGTGGAAAACACAGGGTCCACAGAGAGCGTGCTTTATGTCTCAGGGCATGAGGGCTGCCATTACCCCGACCGGGAGCAGCTTGAAAGGGACCCGTTTCCTCCTGAATTTTAATAAGGGACCCGCTGGGTGTCTTCAGCCGGCTTCTGGAATGCCGTAGCGGACGCTGCAGAGAGCGTATCTTTGCTGGGGAGGGTTAATAGCCAGAAGCAGCCTTCCAGCTGTTTCGTAAGGAGCTAACGGGGGAGAGGCAAAGCCTGGAATGTGAAAATGAGAAGCTTGTACCCCCCCCAAAAAAAAAAAAACAAAATACCCAAAGCCCCCAGTACCTCCAGCCAGAACAAACTGTGTTCCCACTGACCTTAGGAGTAGCTTCCCGATCCATCCCCCTTGCGGCCGGCGGTGAGTTTCCTCATCCTGGCTCTGCCGTCAGATCACCACTCCGGAAGACTGCTATCCGACTCGAGATGGAATTCTTGGGAGTGTGATCCACATCATCTCCATGCCACAAGGGAAAAAATCACACAGATAGGCAGCACAGAAGCATTTAAGATGGAGAACACAAAATGCGGCCGACTGATAACAAGCTGTTCCCCTGCTAATCTACTGCATTCAAGCCGAACCAAACAGCCTCCTGACTTGCTAAGATCCTCTACTCAGTACTTATGTATCTCGCTGCCAGCCACAGAATCCAATTCCAAAAAAAAAAAAAAGATGACTATACTGGCTTCATATCCCATTTCCACACTGATGGCCCTGGTACCATTGCAGATGCACCTAAGGTCCAAGGCAAGGTGACGGTGTACACCTGGGAGGGGAACCCGGCCAACATCAGCTGCGAGGTGCTGGCCCACCCGGAAGCTTCTGTGACCTGGTTCCGTGACAGCCAGCAGCTGCCCGGCCCCAACACCACCAACATCAAGATCTTCAACACGCCTGAGGCGAGCCACCTGGAGGTATGGTCCGCCGGGGCCACCCTGCTCCCTTAGCGCATTTCCTGTGGACCACAAGTCACAGGGCTGGGAATAGTCCCTCCTTGGCTTCCATAGGGATACAGGTGGAGTTGGAGGTACTCTCCAAAGAGCCTGGATGTGATGGACACAGCTGCCCTCCAGTGGTCATAGTATCTCCCTTCACGTGGTGCGTGTAACTTTACACATCCCATGTACTAGAGGAGCAGAGTGTGAAGGCCTTGGACTTCACGCCGCAGTTAGTCCTTACTGTTCTCCAGCCCTTTCCCAAACCACTCCCTCGTCTCTGTCCATTTTGGCCAAAACAGCCCAGATCCTGGATGGCTGGGCTTCCTAGGGGTGATGGCTCCGCGGTGGGCTTGGTGCCCGTGCCCATCTTTAATTACCGAGGGGGGACCGGCGCCAAAGACCACCCCACAGCCATGGAAGCCCTTCAAAGCGACCAGCTGGGAAAATGAATGCTTGTTTTGCTCAAGGTTACCGGGAGAAGGAGGTCAGGGAACACGTCTCAGTCTCTCTCACTCTCCCTGCTCCAGGTCACCCCCGACTCACAGACAGATTTTGGCAGCTACAACTGTACGGCTACCAATGCGGTCGGCACAGAATCCAAGGAGTTCCTCCTCATTCAGGCAGGTTAGTAACCACTGGTATCCATCCGCCTAAGAACCACTCGTATGCATATGCCCAGTAACCACCAATATCCATCCGCCAGTGACTAGTAATGGCTGCCAGTAGCTGCGCCACCGCCCCTTCCTGCTTATCACCATGTGCTATACAGGAACCCATCTCTGGTTGATCGGTTACAAATTTAGCATTATTACCTTTGTCGCACCAGTGAATAACAAGAAAAAAAAATGTTTGACGTAATAAAATTGAAACATTTTAATTTGCTCTTTTTGCTGTTTTTTCCATCTTAGCTGTAATATGTGCTTTAGGTCACTATCCACACCAGGTTTCTTGTATGGACATAATGGAAAGATCTAATCGGGACCAGTTAGTGTAAGGAAGCACGGGGGATAGTTCTGGTAATTTCTAAAATGGGGGCGACGTATTGCAGTAACGTGGCTCCTGCCGTTCTGATAAAAATGTCACGTAGTATTTTAATGGAATCGAAAGCCAGTGTTAAAATTCAGTGGTCGCAGCTGAGAAATAACGATTCAGAAACTCATCCCGGGTAACAACCCGCCCCTCCCCCTCCCCACAGAGGTGCCCTCCGCCCCGTTCATCGAGCAGGTAGTGCCCTACTCCAGCACGGCCGTGGTGCACTTCGACGAGCCCGACGCCACTGGCGGAGTTCCCGTGCTCAAGTACAGGGTGGAGTGGCGTCTTCTGAACCAGGGAAACTGGACCAGCCGGAAATACACCTCCGATGACGGTGAGCCCCACATGGTGGGGGAGGGAGGCAAAGGGGGGGGGCGGGAGATGGACAGAGGGAAAGAGAGATAACGGGAGGCGGCAGGCCTGAAAATTACGCTGTCAGTCATACTCCAAGCGGCATATCGATTCGGTGTCGCCGGGAGGGGAGACGGGGCGTGTGCCAAACCTTGGCGCCGAGTCCAGTGCGGGGGTGGGAACTTAAAACCCCTGAACGGGCCAGGCGTGTGAGTGATGTGGGGAGTGCGGTTCTGAGCAGGTCTGGACGTGGGGGCTCCGCGCTTACAGCAGTGCTAGGAAGTTGGTAAACCCTGGAGAATTTTCTAGATATTTCTGCATTAATATAACCTAAACTGAGATTGGATTTTGACTTGCGTCTTAAAACTCGATAAAAACAACCCAGTAAAACGAATGACACAAATCATTACACGTTTACAAGTATATTACAAATATTATGTTTATTTGTCGATCATTTAATTGGGTTCTCTTTATCTAGTTTTAGGAATCTGAAAACCCCCGATCATGTTTTAGGTAATATTTATAGAGAAAAGAGTTCACAAATGTTCTAGCACCACTATAAGGTTGTGCTCTCAAAAGGACTAGGGGTGGGCAGCACACCAGTTCATACTCATTACTGGTGTGATCGTGCGCCATGATGTAGATTTGGCCTTTACTGGTAACACTGGGAGAAGTCTACAACAGCCTGTTTATAAAAAAATAAAGCATTTTATTTACTTCAAAGCTTATATACTATATGTAACCAGTTTATCTGCGTTGCGTGATTTTTCTATTACAGACTATGACAGGGTGTCACGATAGCAAATGAACAAATTCAAAGTAAACAGATGTTGTGTAATTATACACATTAAACAAATTAACCTGGTTACATATATATATATATTAGCAAATTAAAAAGTAAAATATATTTGCTAAATCAGCGTATATATGTGCCGCAGTCTTCATGCATGGCGTGTGGAAAAGCGCACAGCTACCCAGTTAACACTAGAACTGCCCGTTTCCCATGCCAATGAACACCAAACTCCTTTAACCTTCAAGCAAGACACACTTCAGCTTATGCAGCCCTTTTGTTTGCGCTAATGTGCCATTAGTGTTAATAACAGCAGCGAATCTAACACCCTCCACCAAAAAGCCATAATGCTCCTAACAGAGTGGCTGCTCTGTCCTGAAACCGTAAAGCGTAAAAAGCAGTATCTGATAAAATGTTGGATAAATAGCCGTAGTTTTTAGGCGACTTCATGTTCGTCAAAGTTTACATTGTTTAACAGCTGTCTAAAGTTATTTTTATACAAATCAATTCAGGTGAAACAATTAAAAAAAAAAATGTTCAGGGTTGCCAACACTCACGCATCTGGCGTGACACTCACACTTTCAGACTCTCACACTAACACAAGAAATCTTACAGCAAATCTATATTATTCCATTATAAACCTAAAATTAGCTGCATCAGAAGCATTGGGGTAGTATGCAAACCCTAAAAACCATTTACAAGGTAGTAAAACTGTTAAATACGTGTGAATGTGTGGCAGACTTGCCTCAAATTGAAAATCCCACTCCAGCCAGCTGACCAAAGTTGGCAACCTTGCGTTTCAGTCGAAATGAAATGTAAAATGCACTGTTTTCGGCTGAAGCGGCTTGTCATTCCCTTTGCATTGTTACTCCAAAAATTATAAAACAAATATGAGAAAACATCACCTATGTCACTTTCTGTATCTTTTCAAAATAAATCTACCCATACCCAAATGCATTAGCAATTAAAGTGTACTTATTGTATTCTAAAATATTTCTTTCAACTTATGTAAAGGGACAGGACATACTAATCCTGCTAAAACTAAAACTAAAAAAAAAAAANGCTAATGATAAGGTTGGCCCTTCTCATGCTCGCCCTCCCCCGCCTTAAAAATCCTATACAGTTGCCCCTGGTTTGTCTGAACTCGCTCCTCTAAGTAGCACTGCCAGTCTTCACAATAACGGGAAGTTTATAGGCACAAAGGTGCCAAGTTTATGAGTAGTGGCAGGCTGGCCGATATGGGCCCCGTTGTGAGTAAAACTGAACCTAGCAATGAAGCATCTAGTGTTGGTCCAGACTGCCTGCAAGCAGAAGGCCTGTTTTTCATTATATGATTTGATACACAAAGATGAAAAAATACCTCTCCGCTTTTTTTTGCATACATATATACAAAGCAAGAAAAAAGGTTTTGACACGCAAGTTCTGAGTTGTTGATTTGATTGGGAATAAAGGGAAGTTTCATCACGCTCAATGCTCTCTCTCTCTGTTTCTCTCTTGCGCCCCCTAGAGTCTGGATGACAATGTGGAGGTGCGCAGCCATGCCCGTGTCTCCTCCCTCACCCTGAAGTATGTCCAGTTCACTGATGCTGGCCAGTACCTCTGCACGGCACGCAACCCCATTGGGCAGGATGCCCAGGCCATGTACCTGGAAGTACGCTGTAAGGACCTGGAATTTTGTATACGCAATGTCTACTGGTCTACCTGATTTGTTCCTGGGTCTGAGAGGACAGCCCACTTCGTCAGAGCTGCCAATCAACTTAATGACTGCGAGGTGTGGGACAGCAGTAGAGAGCTCAGTGGTTAAGAAATGAATAGAGTGATTTGGAGGACACAACCGCATGTAATCTAAACCCATGTGGGCTTTATAGAGATTATACTAATGTTTCTCAACTCAGTCTTTGGGGACCCGCAGGCATACCTCAACCGAACAATCAAGAACGAATCAAACAATCAAGAACGAATCGAACAATCAAGAACGAGTCAAACAATCAAGAACGAGTCAAACAATCAAGAGCACCAAATAGCTGGTACCAGTGTGTTGGGTCCTGGAAGGTAGCAAAAATGAGGAATGTCTGAGGGTCCCCAAGGCCTGGGGATCCATACGGGTTTCAGGCAGAATGACAAAATACATCTCAACCCAGTCCTCCGGGAGCCCCAGGCACACCTGAACCAAATAATCAACGACAAACCAAACAATCAAGAACGAATCAAACAATCAAGAACAACGAATACTTGGTATATAAGTGTATTGGGACCTGGAAGGGAGCAAAACCAGGGATTGTCTGGGGGTCCCCGAGCACCGGGCTGAGAAACACAGGAATAACCCAGCAAATGAATGAAATCGCTTTGTGTAGAAACATCGACATCGATAATGATGTCACATATCACACTCGAATACAATTACAGCAATGAAAGAATAACAAGAGCCGCACTCGGGGATAAAACACTGGAACACTCCAGATGACACGTCAGCGAGGCTCACAGCCCATTATGAGCGAAGCGATCTCAAACTTTAAACACCGCCTCGTGTCACGACCGCATTTTTCTTGCCCTAACTTTTAATCTGTAGCGTCGTCACTCGAGTACGATCGAATTTTCTGCCTGACGAAACGGCATGCTAGCCACCCAGATGTAATTTAGGGGATGAAAGATACAGAGTAAAGACATTAGCGCTATCTGATTTTACCGCACTCTCCAGGCTGCTACCCCGTCCCGTGAAGTTGCAGTTCACTTTCATTCTTTGGCAAACACCATTTCGAAAATGACAGGTAACAAAAGGCTAATTGGATTAATTTTCCAAGTGCCTCAAACAAGCAGTTATGTGCGATAGCATCAGAATACACAATTGATAAAATAGATTTGATTGCAATTAGGCAGTGTCTGAGTCGTTGGGTTCTGGTTCTGCGCATGGCAAGACTTCGTAATCGGGTATAAAAAGATTCTCTGTCTGGGCCGGGGCTGAGGGCACACGTCCGATGGCGCCGAATGACATCGTCCAGTGAAAACTGATCCCAGATCAGACAAAATTGCTGACGCTGTGGGCACTGTGGAAAACACAGGGTCCACAGAGAGCGTGCTTTATGTCTCAGGGCATGAGGGCTGCCATTACCCCGACCGGGAGCAGCTTGAAAGGGACCCGTTTCCTCCTGAATTTTAATAAGGGACCCGCTGGGTGTCTTCAGCCGGCTTCTGGAATGCCGTAGCGGACGCTGCAGAGAGCGTATCTTTGCTGGGGAGGGTTAATAGCCAGAAGCAGCCTTCCAGCTGTTTCGTAAGGAGCTAACGGGGGAGAGGCAAAGCCTGGAATGTGAAAATGAGAAGCTTGTACCCCCCCCAAAAAAAAAAAAACAAAATACCCAAAGCCCCCAGTACCTCCAGCCAGAACAAACTGTGTTCCCACTGACCTTAGGAGTAGCTTCCCGATCCATCCCCCTTGCGGCCGGCGGTGAGTTTCCTCATCCTGGCTCTGCCGTCAGATCACCACTCCGGAAGACTGCTATCCGACTCGAGATGGAATTCTTGGGAGTGTGATCCACATCATCTCCATGCCACAAGGGAAAAAATCACACAGATAGGCAGCACAGAAGCATTTAAGATGGAGAACACAAAATGCGGCCGACTGATAACAAGCTGTTCCCCTGCTAATCTACTGCATTCAAGCCGAACCAAACAGCCTCCTGACTTGCTAAGATCCTCTACTCAGTACTTATGTATCTCGCTGCCAGCCACAGAATCCAATTCCAAAAAAAAAAAAAAGATGACTATACTGGCTTCATATCCCATTTCCACACTGATGGCCCTGGTACCATTGCAGATGCACCTAAGGTCCAAGGCAAGGTGACGGTGTACACCTGGGAGGGGAACCCGGCCAACATCAGCTGCGAGGTGCTGGCCCACCCGGAAGCTTCTGTGACCTGGTTCCGTGACAGCCAGCAGCTGCCCGGCCCCAACACCACCAACATCAAGATCTTCAACACGCCTGAGGCGAGCCACCTGGAGGTATGGTCCGCCGGGGCCACCCTGCTCCCTTAGCGCATTTCCTGTGGACCACAAGTCACAGGGCTGGGAATAGTCCCTCCTTGGCTTCCATAGGGATACAGGTGGAGTTGGAGGTACTCTCCAAAGAGCCTGGATGTGATGGACACAGCTGCCCTCCAGTGGTCATAGTATCTCCCTTCACGTGGTGCGTGTAACTTTACACATCCCATGTACTAGAGGAGCAGAGTGTGAAGGCCTTGGACTTCACGCCGCAGTTAGTCCTTACTGTTCTCCAGCCCTTTCCCAAACCACTCCCTCGTCTCTGTCCATTTTGGCCAAAACAGCCCAGATCCTGGATGGCTGGGCTTCCTAGGGGTGATGGCTCCGCGGTGGGCTTGGTGCCCGTGCCCATCTTTAATTACCGAGGGGGGACCGGCGCCAAAGACCACCCCACAGCCATGGAAGCCCTTCAAAGCGACCAGCTGGGAAAATGAATGCTTGTTTTGCTCAAGGTTACCGGGAGAAGGAGGTCAGGGAACACGTCTCAGTCTCTCTCACTCTCCCTGCTCCAGGTCACCCCCGACTCACAGACAGATTTTGGCAGCTACAACTGTACGGCTACCAATGCGGTCGGCACAGAATCCAAGGAGTTCCTCCTCATTCAGGCAGGTTAGTAACCACTGGTATCCATCCGCCTAAGAACCACTCGTATGCATATGCCCAGTAACCACCAATATCCATCCGCCAGTGACTAGTAATGGCTGCCAGTAGCTGCGCCACCGCCCCTTCCTGCTTATCACCATGTGCTATACAGGAACCCATCTCTGGTTGATCGGTTACAAATTTAGCATTATTACCTTTGTCGCACCAGTGAATAACAAGAAAAAAAAATGTTTGACGTAATAAAATTGAAACATTTTAATTTGCTCTTTTTGCTGTTTTTTCCATCTTAGCTGTAATATGTGCTTTAGGTCACTATCCACACCAGGTTTCTTGTATGGACATAATGGAAAGATCTAATCGGGACCAGTTAGTGTAAGGAAGCACGGGGGATAGTTCTGGTAATTTCTAAAATGGGGGCGACGTATTGCAGTAACGTGGCTCCTGCCGTTCTGATAAAAATGTCACGTAGTATTTTAATGGAATCGAAAGCCAGTGTTAAAATTCAGTGGTCGCAGCTGAGAAATAACGATTCAGAAACTCATCCCGGGTAACAACCCGCCCCTCCCCCTCCCCACAGAGGTGCCCTCCGCCCCGTTCATCGAGCAGGTAGTGCCCTACTCCAGCACGGCCGTGGTGCACTTCGACGAGCCCGACGCCACTGGCGGAGTTCCCGTGCTCAAGTACAGGGTGGAGTGGCGTCTTCTGAACCAGGGAAACTGGACCAGCCGGAAATACACCTCCGATGACGGTGAGCCCCACATGGTGGGGGAGGGAGGCAAAGGGGGGGGGCGGGAGATGGACAGAGGGAAAGAGAGATAACGGGAGGCGGCAGGCCTGAAAATTACGCTGTCAGTCATACTCCAAGCGGCATATCGATTCGGTGTCGCCGGGAGGGGAGACGGGGCGTGTGCCAAACCTTGGCGCCGAGTCCAGTGCGGGGGTGGGAACTTAAAACCCCTGAACGGGCCAGGCGTGTGAGTGATGTGGGGAGTGCGGTTCTGAGCAGGTCTGGACGTGGGGGCTCCGCGCTTACAGCAGTGCTAGGAAGTTGGTAAACCCTGGAGAATTTTCTAGATATTTCTGCATTAATATAACCTAAACTGAGATTGGATTTTGACTTGCGTCTTAAAACTCGATAAAAACAACCCAGTAAAACGAATGACACAAATCATTACACGTTTACAAGTATATTACAAATATTATGTTTATTTGTCGATCATTTAATTGGGTTCTCTTTATCTAGTTTTAGGAATCTGAAAACCCCCGATCATGTTTTAGGTAATATTTATAGAGAAAAGAGTTCACAAATGTTCTAGCACCACTATAAGGTTGTGCTCTCAAAAGGACTAGGGGTGGGCAGCACACCAGTTCATACTCATTACTGGTGTGATCGTGCGCCATGATGTAGATTTGGCCTTTACTGGTAACACTGGGAGAAGTCTACAACAGCCTGTTTATAAAAAAATAAAGCATTTTATTTACTTCAAAGCTTATATACTATATGTAACCAGTTTATCTGCGTTGCGTGATTTTTCTATTACAGACTATGACAGGGTGTCACGATAGCAAATGAACAAATTCAAAGTAAACAGATGTTGTGTAATTATACACATTAAACAAATTAACCTGGTTACATATATATATATATTAGCAAATTAAAAAGTAAAATATATTTGCTAAATCAGCGTATATATGTGCCGCAGTCTTCATGCATGGCGTGTGGAAAAGCGCACAGCTACCCAGTTAACACTAGAACTGCCCGTTTCCCATGCCAATGAACACCAAACTCCTTTAACCTTCAAGCAAGACACACTTCAGCTTATGCAGCCCTTTTGTTTGCGCTAATGTGCCATTAGTGTTAATAACAGCAGCGAATCTAACACCCTCCACCAAAAAGCCATAATGCTCCTAACAGAGTGGCTGCTCTGTCCTGAAACCGTAAAGCGTAAAAAGCAGTATCTGATAAAATGTTGGATAAATAGCCGTAGTTTTTAGGCGACTTCATGTTCGTCAAAGTTTACATTGTTTAACAGCTGTCTAAAGTTATTTTTATACAAATCAATTCAGGTGAAACAATTAAAAAAAAAAATGTTCAGGGTTGCCAACACTCACGCATCTGGCGTGACACTCACACTTTCAGACTCTCACACTAACACAAGAAATCTTACAGCAAATCTATATTATTCCATTATAAACCTAAAATTAGCTGCATCAGAAGCATTGGGGTAGTATGCAAACCCTAAAAACCATTTACAAGGTAGTAAAACTGTTAAATACGTGTGAATGTGTGGCAGACTTGCCTCAAATTGAAAATCCCACTCCAGCCAGCTGACCAAAGTTGGCAACCTTGCGTTTCAGTCGAAATGAAATGTAAAATGCACTGTTTTCGGCTGAAGCGGCTTGTCATTCCCTTTGCATTGTTACTCCAAAAATTATAAAACAAATATGAGAAAACATCACCTATGTCACTTTCTGTATCTTTTCAAAATAAATCTACCCATACCCAAATGCATTAGCAATTAAAGTGTACTTATTGTATTCTAAAATATTTCTTTCAACTTATGTAAAGGGACAGGACATACTAATCCTGCTAAAACTAAAACTAAAAAAAAAAAAATACCGTCACCATCAAAAAAATCGAAAAATACCTTGATAATAATTTTAGATGATATCGCCCACGCCTATGCCACACGGTTAGTCTGTAGCCCTATGTGACTCCTCACAGTCATGGAAAACTATGGTGAATACAGTCATTCCCAAGCTAAATAGCTATTCTTAGTCCAGCTGACAGGCATCACAATTCTGTTTTCTCATTTCTTTATTTTTTCTTCTTGTATTATGACAGTGTCTGTCTCTAAAAACAAACACTCTGCCATCTTGGACAGCCAGGGTGACAGAGCTCAGTGAGAGCCCCCCCTCCGGAGGCCAGCCCCATGGCCTCATCCCATCTCTGTGCCGTTTGGAAAAATCCCATCTCGTCCTCACAGGCAGAGCGCTAACGTCCTGCTGAGGCCTGGAAACTCACACCCGGATTAATCCGCGCCCCACCCACCCCGACTTAAATCGACATGCTTGTCTTCGTCCTTTAAAATATCGCCTGTCTGTGTTTTTATTTTCACCTTTATAGGATTTACATGCTCGTTCCATAATAATGGCTTTTTTTCTGCGCACCCAAGCAAAGCACAATTCCCCATAAAATTTTCACAGCCGCGTGCAAACTGAGTGATTTGTTTAAAAACTGGCCCAATATATCCTGAACACGCCCCATAATCTCTGCAGCTTTGGTTGAATATCAAAACTTTTTGATGCAGTCAACGTGACAAGCAGCTTCACGGGATGAATTTAATATTCCCTTCTGGGAGGGGGGCAGGCACTTGTAACTGTCTGTTAGAGACCGTGTCAGGTCATGGAAATCGGCTGGCGGTGGCTTGTCATACTCTCAGAGTCTTCCTTGGCAGCACTGAGGAATTTAAGGGTCATTAAAGCGTATTTTTGCATATTTATGTTACATAATCTATGTTTTGAAAGTGAGAACTTTGCCAATAACTTTTTATTTGTCCATAATCTTTCGTTTTTGCCTATAAATTAAAGCAAAGGCGAATTTTCCAACAGTTTTAAGATGTATTTTTTGTACGTTTGGTTTCCCAGGTATAAACACGATCACCATCACGGGTTTGAAACCGGTGACCAGTTACGAGGTGAAGATGTCAGCCATCAATGGCAAAGGTGAAGGAGAGAGCAGCGCACCCAAAGATTTTAGGACAGAGCCAGTCCGTAAGTACTGCCCTGTCCCCTCCAGCTGTACCCACACCCTGTCCCCTCCTCAGCTGTCCCCGCCCAGTACGCTTCCTGATTGGACGATGGCTGAGCTGCACTGACAGTCCACCCTTTAGCCTACAGGGGGAGCCCTCAGCGACCACCTCTTTCTCCCGGCCCTGCAATGTACACTGTGTGTTTTGTGTGCGACTCTCTCTCTCCTGTCCTGTCCCGATGCTAATAGCTTGCTTCCAGCTGGAAGGACCCCAAAGACCAACCCTCACCGCTCCCATTGAAAGAATCAGGTCCAAGTGCCTGCAGGGGACAGAGTAATGGTCCATCAGCGGGGGCCAATCAGAATCAACAACTTGGGGAATTCTGCTGTACAAGTAGCTGTTCGTCCCAAAATGCTACACTGGCTTAGATGGCTAACGCCTCAGTCACTGATAAATACAGCCAATAATTCAGGGTTTTCCATAACCTTCTAAGGTGTATTAGCATTCGACAGCTAATAAATACCCATGAAGTATGTAATTGCTTTTTAAATGTATTACTGCAGCCATAAACAAGGTTATAACTGGGTTTGCTACTTTTAAGTTGCCCGCAAGTAATGTGTGTTTAGAAAGCAAGAGTCTTCCAAGCAAATGGGCTCTTTGATTTGTTGCTCTAAAGCAGTGTTTGGGGACCTTCTGCGTAATTAATGGAGGGCAATTGTTTAATGGTCTTGAGGCTTTTGCTGGGTCTACTGGCATTGACTCCATTTTGCCACCGTTTTTAGGGAGCATTTCACGTTCTCAGGGCTTGTCGGAAAGTTGCATATCTTCTTGAGCAGTTCGTAATTACTTCTTCAGTGTTTTAACACTGGGATTTTCGGTCTGGCTATTATTATTGGGTGGCTTCGATCAGTAGGTCAGTGTAGTCAAGTTACACAAAAGGCAATATTTATCCTTTTGGAATAATCTGCGTCTTATATTGAAAATATTCTGCATGCAGTGTCCTGGGAGCCTGAGGTGTGATGTACAGATAAGATCCGCATTGCCGGAGGAGAATCCCCAGATCTGCATTTCATCTTTCTCATTTTTCATGTTGTTTTGAGCTCCTCGTCAGCCACGTCTTTCTCCGGCGAATCGGGGCCATTTTGCGACTCAAATGGAGATTCTGCCCACACTCATGCCCGCGTGTGCATTTTGACCTGGCTGCTGCTTCTGTGCCCGTAAACCCCCCCCCCCCAACCGCCCCGCCTATTTTTGGCTAACGTTCACCTCTGTGTTTCCGTTCTCACCTTTTTCCTTCTTTTCTTCTTTTTTTGTTTCTTTGTGTTTTTCTCTGTTTTCTGTGTTTGTTCCATTGGAAAACTCAGGCTATTCTTTTACAAGTAAGTGCCCCATCTGCCCTCCAGGGGTCCTGCTCTCTGTTTAATTCATATATGTATATATTTTTTTAACTGATTTTTCATTTCTTTGACACATTTCATGAAGTTAGTATGATAAAAAAACAAATCACAAAATTAGGCCTGGTGAATCTAACCAACCTCCCTGTACGCATAATTCTCTAAGCATTAGCAACGTATCTCCTCTTGTGTTGTAATAAGTAAAAATCAAGCCTCTTCCATGCTGGGCAAGCCAACCCACATCCCTGGATCCATGGCACCTTTTGGGTGGAATGTGGTTTCGTTATTCTACAGGGGACCTGTAGAGAATAGTGGGTGACCTCAACTTGTGAAATGTGTGCTCTGGTGCAGACATCAACACTTGGCTCGATCACCTCTCATGTTCATTACTGATGCCTCTTCCTCCATCTCTCGTCCGATTCCCCTTACAATCTGGAAGGATTAAGCATGATCGTAATCCTTCAAACACTAACCTAACGCAGAGCCGACCCTGAAACGTACACAGTAACACTTCTCCGCACTAATTACGACATAGCTATAGTGTTGACGTTTCCTTCAGATCTCAGCTTGTAGAATAATTTATCCTAATATTTGCATGCAGTAAGGACTTTGTTTTATCTGACAAGAATAGCGCAAGTTTGGCATCAGTTGGCATTATGGGTGGTCATCAGTCATCGCCGAAGCATTGACAATTACCTCTTTATGCTGATTTGTGATTTTTATGTTTATTGCCAAGTATTTAACCAGCAGGCTACAATTATCACAAAATGGCTTTTATGCCCAATGCTGTCAAATGATATTGGGTATCTCTTGTCATAATTATACCAGTTTTCTTAAAGTGTTGCGTTTTTATAGGGCACATTTAGAAACTCGATCTCTGTTATGTCTGGCATCCATTTGTGGCCATGAGCGATGATTAGGAGTGTCAGCTCAACAGATGTTTGTTGAATAGGAATATAAACGTATTATCTGGCTAAAGTGCCTAGCTATATTCTGTGCCATACTTTGCAAGCAAAGACAACTCTCACCACATTCAGCCGTTATGTAACCTCTAGGTGGCGCTGTTTAGCCACAGTCTGCCTGTGAAAAAGTTTGGTGTGCATCAGACTAACATGTTCATTTAGGTGCACAGGTTGTGATGGAGTGTCCTCCTCCACTCTGGTGTCATTGGCCTATATGCTTGGGTAGCAGATGAATCATACTCAAAGGAGGTACTTCTTAGTCGCTGCTTTATTTGAAGCTGCCGATTCTGTTCTTAAACATCTTAATGTAATGCCGTTGCTCTGTACAGTGACCTCCAAAAATCCATTGGAAAGAAGACATGTTTTTATTTTGGCCAACGTTGACGGCAAGGCTAGGAACTTTACACGGAGAATTAGGAATATCAACTGGAGGAGCCAGTTTGGGCTTCCTAGAGCAGTTGTTGGTGACGATGGAGGGGAAGGGATACCTGAAGATGAGAACGAGAGCAGCATGACAAGCTCCTTGGGGGAAATGGGGACAGTAGACAATACCGTGGAAAGAGGGTCACACAATATCACCAACAAGGACTTTCCCAGCCACGTCTCCAAAGTCTCTTCAGAGCTCCCCAAGGATTCCATGGAGCAAACCCAAGGACAATTGCCTGAGACTACTGCCCCAGAGTTCCAAAGTAATACTACAGTGCTTGTGCCATCAGTCACATTGGTGAGTGACCCAAAGGAGAGCAAAATATTTACACAGCTAATGGCTGAGGTCTCAGCCCCAGTAAGTGATGGTGCCTGGAACGTCACCATAGTTCAAACGACAGATGGAACAGCTGTCACCGAAACTACAGACGAGGGCATAGCTACGACTGACACTACCGATGGATGGATAACTGCAACCAAAACAACAGACTGGGACATGGACACAACTGAAACCACAGACGTTTATATAGACGTGACAGAGCCTACGCTTTGGGCCACGGAAACGATATTCACAACTGACGTTCCACCATCAAGGCTCCCCACCATTAATATGGCTCGGGCTGCTCCTGTAGACATGGCAAGAGACTTCTGGGCGAGTGAGTAGGGTCTGGCAGGACCTGCATCGCTTCAGTGGTGCTCGTTGCTATGTTTATGTGTGTGACGCTTCGGGTGAATGACAGTTGGGAAGGCCTGGCCTGCTACTGCCTTGAGTGACAGCTTAGTGGCTGCTCATCTGCAACTGTCTGGGAGACGCTTTCATTTGGCACGACAGCATCTCGAGCATGGCTCAATTATCGCTTCATTAAGCTCTCAGAACTGTAACCAGTACTAACATGGTTGGTTCAGAAGATGCTTCATATGCTGTTTGTTGTTTTGGAGTTAATATGTCTCTTGTACTTACATGTGACTTGAAGGGCGACATAGTGGGAAAGCAACAGGGGTGTATACAGGGGCGGGGCCACGGGGACACTGGCCCCAACAGAAAGCTGATTGGCCTCCATAGTGACCCCTCCCCTGTCACACTCAGATTCAAAACATATCATTGGCTAATGATAAGATTTACCTCTGTGTGTGAATAATGGCCCCTTATATGCCCCCCATTTAAAAAAAAAATCTAGAATCACAGAAGCAAGACAAGCTTTAGTCTTTTCTAAGGAGAGGTTTGTGTAGGCCATGCAGAATTCATAAAAACAGCAGATGTCTTCCTTGCACCATAAATTTAGTTTGTTTGTTTATTTATGACTCCTTTGGTCATTTTAATTAATGGATTATTCTAAAATGCTTGTCATTGCTTTGATAAAGGTGTCTTATTAGTAGCGACGGACAGATTTTGATGAATGGTTGACGTTCGAATTAAAAAGCGCTCACTCTTTAATTTGTGTATTCCTGCCCTGCCTGACTTTCTCAGCAAGCCCCCTCCCCCCCCCTCAACAGACAGACACACATTCTTCCCCCCAGTGCATGGAAATGAATTTTTCTCCACAAGGATTTTTCTAATTAGTTTTATAATTTATATTCTACCAATGGAGTTGCCCGCCTGTCAGTCACTTGCACTCCTGTCTCTGTCTTAGCGAGCGACCTCCGTAACTTGGTCAGTTAGTTCATTTGCCTCAAATATCTTTTGTTAATGCTGTAACGAAATGAGCAGCAAAATAGAATGTTGTTGCACTTTACGCATTTTATTTTCTATACTCGATTCCTGTCTCAGTTTTACGTTTGCATTTATTAAAAGCCTTTTCATGTTGAAAGCAGTTAAGGCTATTTACGACGTAGCTAGAATATAATGCAGTCATCAATTATGGTAGCTTATTTTTATTGCGTTTGCATTTAGCAGAGAACGCAATGGTGCTGTATATTGCAATGATTATTCATTTGGCTTGGTACTAGTTTGTCACATCGTGGATTTATTTTAACCTCGCCTTAACGTAAAGGTGCAATGCTGCGGGGCTTTGAATACATTAGTAAATGAGGGAAAAGAAGCATAAGGGTGTCTTCGTTTTATTCTTATACTCTTCCCTGATATTATTTCCTACTTTTTAAGTGGTATAAAATGTAACAATTGTGTTACTGCGTGGAAACACTTACATTAGTTTTATTGCATAGCTTGACTTCTATATGGAGTCTGACATTTGCCTGTTTTATTTCAATAGATACTCTAACTGAATCAACAGGTTGCACACTGGTCATATATTAAATTAAATTTTAATAAGTTTCAATATTAAATCTGGGCTGCCATGCATTTTTTGATGGTTGTTCATCCCAACTCCCCCACCCCTCCACCCCTAGACTGAAATAGCTTGTAGCTTAATGTGGTTGATGTGATGCGTTGGATGATTGGCCGGTATGGAGCGGCTGTCTGTCAGCTACATCAAACAAGTGTCACGCCTGAGATCTTTTCTGCTGCGTCTCCCAGGAGAGCATGATTTATTGGTCAGGGCGGTTACGGGTGTCCCCTGTTTAAGTCATGCTCTCCTTAGCTTGTACGGTTGGTCAAATGGAAGTGATCAGCATTTTGTCATCTGCAGAATGTGTCTCTGCCCAAGAAGCCTTTCACTGAAAAAGTGATGTATGCTAAAACATCAGACACTGAGTAAGAACATTGGTATATAGCATAGCTTCCACATAGAATTAATATACAGTACATGATACGTAAAACTGTTTGTGAGTTCAAGACAATATAATTGAAGTCTATTATATACATAAACCTAGTAATTCACTTATTTTTACTACATTGTCCTTCTGTATGGAATCCTGTACTTTTTTTGGAAAGGCTTCGCTTAAGGTAGGCCATTTTGTAGTAACCCTTGGTGAATTGGCCCCCGCCTTGGTGGCCTACAGGGCCCAGGTAGCCTTGCGTGACTGTGCCTGTGATCTGATCTCTGAGAGGTCGGGGGCAAACCCTCAAGCGTCTCCCCTCACCATGTTCTCGCCGTCTTTCAGTTCCATCAGTGACTCCAGCCCCCATTTCTCCAAGCACTGCACCTTCTAGTGAGTATGCCGACGGTGTGGGTGTGTGTGTACCTTCCATGCTGTCGCGCTACCCCCTCCCCCGCCTGCTTAGCTCTCCGTCATACCCATAATGCATCACAGCAAAGTAGCATAAAAAGTACTGCCCGCAAGCTGACCCCAGGTGAGGGATTTGGGACTGAGGGTAAGCCTGGCTGTCACTTCCCCAAGCCTGCAAACTCGCCTCCCCCCCAACCTGCTAAACTAACACTGCTTCAGTAGAAGTTCATTCTCTTTTGTCATGGCTCTGCGACCAACACGGCACGTTTTCTAACCGCCACCTCTTGAATCCGGCTGTGACGTCCATGTAAGTGGCTACCGATAGGAGCATTAACTAAACACAGAAGGCAAACTGTACAGCGTTCATCATACTGTGACCTCTTCACTCTGCGCTGATCATAAAAGGAAAACACTCTGGTCCCGATTATTTATTTGTTTTGTTTTATTTATTTATCTGTAAGCGATCAGCTTAAGCAGCGGGGTGAAATGATTGCTCGCTTTCCTCGAGTAAAACTCGTTCACGGGTGAAATTCTCACACTGAGCCGTTTAAACGCCGCATGCTAATTGGACCTCCGTCCGTATTTTATGGATTTCAACAGGCTGCATGTGATCAATTAGCTAGAGGTGAGGAGGCACCTTGATAACTGAAATGTCTGAAAGCTTCTCTCACTCACTGCCTGGCACCCCCCCCCCCCCAAAGAGGTATCTCTGTCCTGCATGTTACATACAACGTAGGTTGTCGCGCTCTTGTACGCTGCTCCTGCTTATCTCTCCTAACAATCCTACGGGGGTTATAGGGTTTTAAGACCCATCAGTGAGATCCACCAATTCCACTGGTAACCACAGCGAGCACCACCAGCCGCTCATAAGGAGCCGATTCACGATTTCAGGTGATGTTTGGACAGTATGAAAATGTCAGATGGTCGAGCAGTGCTGGAAGCTAATGCTAGCAGAGGTCTTCCCTAGTAGTGTGTGCCACTGAGGTGTATTCACTGGGCCTGCAGGAAGCGCAGCTTGATGCTGCAGCGCATATAAATTTGGCTAATTAACTAGCCGCCTATCATCGCTGATCCTCGGAGAGTCACAGAAGCTTAATCCCACGGTGCATCTTCAGTAAGTTCAGTTAGCCTGCAGCTGGTCAGGACTTGGCTTAAAGCCATTCTGTCTCTGTGGAGGACAGAGCAAAGCAGTTTTACAAATCCCAAGGCGCTGTGCGCCACGGGAGATATCACACCCGTTTCGACGAGTGGTTCGGGTTTTCACCGCAACGCCGTAGCGGTCGTAACCTGTAGCTCGAGCAGCAGACAGCTTCTCAACATGCAAATGTAAATATGACGGATGGGAATTTTCGTGACAGTTTCGCCTTTGCGACTGTCATTCGTTATATGTTTCCCCTTAGGCGTGAATGATGAAAGCTTTCTCAAACGCTTTGACAACGAAATGGAGAAGCAGCAGGTTTAGGTGAATTTGCAAGTAGACTTCAGCTGTTTCATGCCCCCAGTGGAAATAATTACATTCTACGTTTATGTAGATGATAGAGTAACCATTGTCCTCCAGTTACATTGCCGGAAAACAGTTTGCATTTAGTCTTAAGTGTTGTCCTCAAATAAAATAACTAGCTTCAGTTGGTAGGTCCAGGTGATACCGGATTGATGTTTAACTAATCTGTCTCGTCGTCCATTTTACAGCATGTCTTTGGGTAAAATGTATATCATCAAGGAAAAGAAATAGTAATTGGGAAAAAGAGTTTGGTAGCTGGTTTATAGACACGGCTGATATGGAGCAATTCACCTATGGGCACATTTCCACAGATATCCTTAGTCTGATTTGTAAAACTCCTCATTCGTTTACAGTATGACAGCATGGGCCTGACGTGGTTACGGCCCGCTGCACCGTCCTCGTAGCCCGACGTTCAACATACACACTCCCCAGATGACTTTGTGCACGTCACCGGCAATTAGAAATGGCAGACGAGCAAAAGACAAGATGTCTTGCAAGTAATTCTCACGCAGCCAGACAAAAGACGGATGATGGAACAACCTTTCCAAATGTCAGAAACAAAGGACAGCTGCTAATGATTTTGTAGGCCTGATAGGCAAATCCGTATTTCACAAACGAAGGGATTGTTTTGTTCCATTTGCCGTGGTGTTTTTTTTTTGTTTGTTTTGTTTAGGTGGAAATGTCAAATACAGAACAAAGGTGAGGCAGAGTGTAACCATGGCCAGGAAGGATGTTTGCATTGCAGCAAAAGCAGATTAATTCCTGTCTAATCTGATTATGAAGGTGTCTATATGCATAATGCAAAATGTGAATCTGACTGCGGCTGCGAAATGTACCATATCTGCTGTGGAACTGAAGAAATGGGTTCCGTGTGATGTTTTTTTGTTCCTTACAGGAAAATGCGGGTAAGTATGCTGTGTGTTTCACATTCTACGCTATGGCGTTACGCCTCAGCAAACAGGCCGACCACTTGCCTATACACCCATTTATCACCCACCTCTGCCAAGTTTCCCTGCCCCCTGCCCCCCGCTGCCAGACACGGACATTCATGTCACCCTCTTTCAATATGAGGGTCAGGTTAAGGACTTCTGTGGTCGAGAGGCCTACGGCCTTATGGGTAAGATTGCAGCATCCCGAATTTCAGAAGCCGCACAAGCTTGTAGGGCATTTTGCCTGTGCGGTGCCCCATCAGCTCTGCTCTGACGTTGGGTGTTATGAGAACATTGCTTACTCTGTGCTCCACCGCATCTCCTGCGACTAACTTGTCTACATAAGGCATTTTTTCAGGTACGGTCCACGTACCGCGCTCAGCTCCTCAGTTATCGGATCTGTTTTGTCATCAGTATTAAAAATTCTGCAGCGTGTCCACCCTCTCATCCCTCCTTATTCACTCTGTTCGGGAACATTTACTTTAACTCATGGTGACAAATGTGATGCTAAAAAGACTTTTTGGCTGTATTTTGTGTTCGCTGTGTAACAAAAGTACAATTGTAAAAGTTTCGATGTTTGCCTCGTCGGCTTCCAAAAATGCTGTATCGCTGCAGTAGATTCATGAAGTGAAGGGGACGTTCAGCTGTCATTCCCGTTAAAAACTCTGAAAGCAATCCACAAAGCTAGCACAAGCTTTGGAGTTGGTACATTCCATCTCTTGTCACTATAGTAACTCATAACTTAGATGTCTAATGATGGAGTAAGACCTAAAAAGCTTCTGAATGTTTTGTGAATTGTTAAAAAAAAAAATTTATGGTCCTTGTGCTTCATGAATCTATCTTGCTGTCCATATTTTTTGTATTCAGTGTCTTAAAAATGTTTATGTTGTGTTTACTTTTTAGTTGTTTGTGTAGTTTGTACAAGTTGGTCTTTAACTGTCTTGTTTTGTTCTTTGCTCATGTTTACATCAATTTTTTATTTCTTTTGTATTTTCCATGTGACCTCCTCCACTTTCCTTTCAACCAATCATGTGCGTGCATATCATGTGACTTTGTCATGTGGCTCTTGCATGGTGCTGATGATGTCGTCTACGCTGGTGAACAGAAGGTAAACTCTTTGTTCTGATTGGTCCAATTCGTTCAGAAAAACATACACCATTTATAACCATATACTCCATTACTCTTTTGTGTTTAACAAACTTTTTTCCCACATTTTTTGTTAACCTTGTTAACAAACCATTCCATATCCAAACTCAAGTAAAAATGACCTTCTGATACCATCATTTTGCTTTAAGCTGGAGATTATCTTCCATTGTTGCCAACTGCATGATGCTGTAAGATATGAGAATGCCTCTGTAGTTACGTCTTCCAAATAGATAGCTGCCAGGATATTTTTAAGAAAAGATCAAATTATCCAAACACATATTCTTGTGAATGGTTTAAATTAGCTGTAATTTGGTACCACATCAAGTAATTCAAGGATTTCAAGGAACCATGTCATAATTCCCATTTTATATGCACTATTATTAATTAAGCTCTACTACCGTTGCCATAAAACGTGCAACCAGATCAGCTTTTCTTTTTTATCTTGCTCCGTAATTTAAGCACAAAAGCCTTGCTGCTAAAGAGCCATTAGCACTCGATGTGAAGCGGAACCGTGGAGCGCAGTCCCACGCATCAACGGAACCAGTGTGTCTTTCACAACTGTTTCTTTTACAAAACCAAGTAATGGCTGAATCCATCACATGAAACCACGGAGCAAAACCCTCGTTGCGAATGTTCATTTTATTTCCCATTCGTTTATTGCCACATTCTTCCATATATAGTCACCGAACTGTTGCTGTTAATGTAGTGCTGAAGCATTCCTGAGCGATATGACTCCACGTGATTCAGACTAACAGCGAAGTTCATGCAACTGTGCGGCATGCACATTCCTCTCGCTTCCACTTATTCATCTGCCTCTCTCTACCTTCTCTCCCTTTTGCATGTTAGTTTTTGTCTTGCGTGTGCCTAACCCTAAATGTTTGTTGCTACTGTCTGTTAATAGGGACAAAAATAGCCTCTCGTCTGCACGATCAGGCCTGGTCAGGAGTCCCATTTTTACCTACTGGTTTTCACCGTTTGTGTAACTTTGCAACCATATTGCTCTCTTGGTAAATGGTCCGACAGCGGAATTTTTAAATTCTAAAGCAATCCAATAAATTCATTCATTTTATTGAATGAAACAAATTATCAGGTAAGGTGTCCCCTATCTTGTGTTCTTTGCTTCCTGGGATTAGCTGCAGGCTCAGCATGACCCCGTACGAGACAAGACGTTATGGAAGATGGTTGGATGGAAATCGAATAAAAGTAACAAACCGTGACAGAAGCGAAAGTGATACTCGTTTGAAGTGTGCGGCTTTTGGCTACATCCAGTAAAGCAAGATAACATTTAGCCTCAGAAGTTAGGTAGAAATGTGACTCCATCGCCTGCACCGAAGGCAGACTTTCGCTACGATTTCAAAACAAGGGGACGCAAAATAAGCCAAAAGCAATCGCATACCGAGCTGAGGATGTTGCATGTTAGTGCATGTTTTGATTAGCACTTTCTTCTTAGCATCTTGGTAGCCTTCACCTCACTGGGAATGGGGTGGTCATACTGGAGTACAATGTACTGGTATTATATATAATATATAACTTCACATTTGTATATTTGTTTTTGTTTGCTGTGGTGCTGAACTGTGTTCTTTGCTACTAACCTTTTATTTACATTCCAGCAGTGTTGTAGAGTCCTTATTGCGAACGGACTTTCCTGCAGTGTTAAATCCATCAGCCCATTGGAATCAGATAAAACAGCTTAACGCATGTGTCATTCGGCACGACGTGTTGAAATCGATGCTTCAAGGTCACACGGCTAATTCCTAATCAGATTTTCTTCACTAACCTCCATATGGAGTTTTTTGTTTTTTTTTTTTTAAATGCTACCATTTTTTTCCAAGTCCACGTTTACGGAAAGGAAGAAGATTAGGAGTGAAATTAGGCGTGGCCACAGAGAAAGAATCTTTTTGGATTTGGATCTGTTCAAAATGGATGCTTTATCTTTATCGTTATGTACGTTAAGCGATTATGAGTCAGTGTTATATAGTGTTTGAGAGGATATAAGCTGGATAAAGGCCTCAGGTTCCTGCCCGCGATAAATCGTGTGATTTACCGGAGCAGGCTGCTTTCAGGATCCTCAGTGACGTAGGTGCAGGAGGAGAGGGTGAGCGGTCGACCAAAAGGGCAGCTGGGGTGGAGTGTCCGTGACAGTCACCTCTCCATGCGTGTCTAATTGTTGTGCTAATTCTCCATGTAGCTGCAAATGCTCTTAACAGATAACACGACCGCCTCCCCCCCCGCTTGCCCTTGATAACATAATTAAACATTACAGTGTAGCATGTCCAGGCAACATGCTGGAGCTAATTAGCGTGTTGTCCTGTCATTTAGTTTTGCTAGAATCGATAATGAGGTCTGCGTGGAATGGACGCCATGTCCGTGCGTCCTCTCCGGACGCCGGGTCACGGCTGCTGCCCTGCTATGTGATGGACAGCTGACGGAATATGTCCCATCAGAAAGGCTGATTGCCCTTAATGAGTTAGGCAAGACCCGGTTAGCTTATTAAAAGCAGCCGGAAGAGACCAGCCTAATGTACTTAGTAGTGATTAAATATAGTATCAGCAGCCATTGTCTTGTGCCTGTTTTTATTTATGCTTTTCCTTAAAAAGTTAATTGGAGAGTAGGTGAGCTGGGTTGTGCAGCAATCTTAAACAAGCAAGGGACAGCTGTGGAAAGGAGGAAGAAAACATGGCCCATAAATGGCATGGTGACATTTTGACAACCCCCCCCCCCCCCTGTGTTCTCAGGAGAGCCAAACCCCCCCAAACTGGAGGGCAAGCTGCAGTCGACGGGCAATGTTCTCAAGGTCAACTGGATCAAGCAGGATGATGGAGGGTCACCTATCAAGCACTACCTAGTTAGATACAAGGCTGTGAGTATAGGGGGCATGCTTTAGAATGGGCTATCTCACAGTAGGGGTATTTAGTATGGCCGACATTATGAGGGGCAACCTTTAGAATGGGCTATCTCACAGTAGAGGTATTCAATATGGCAGATAATTAGAAAGTGCAATGTTCGCTAACGTCAATAGATTTTAAATACAGTATATAATATCCTTTTTATTGAAAGAATGTTGCATGATGTTTGTTTTTCTGCACACTGACTGAGAAGCACTTTGGTCTTTGTTGGGTTTGTGTTAAGGACCGCATCTTGGTAACCATGGAAACCAATCGGATACAAGTGCAGTTGTGCCACCGATAGTGAGGGTAATGACTAGGCAGTGAGCGCCCTGTCCTCTGTGCCGCCCCGCCCGCAGAAGCACGTGTCCGACTGGAAGCCAGAAATCCGCCTGCCCAGCAACAGCGAACACGTGGTGCTGAGCGGCCTGGACTGGAACACGGAGTATGAGGTGCACGTGGTGGCGGAGAACCAGCAGGGCAAGTCCAAGGCCGGCACCTTCAGCTTCCGCACCTTAGCTGAGCCCACGGCCATTCCAGGTACCAGCCGCCCCACGGCTTCCCCCCGCCCTGCCCACACAGTCCCCCGCGCCGCGAGTACCAGCACTGCCAACGGACCTCGGCGCCCAGCCGCGGCCCCTCTGACAGGCTAACCGGGCTCAGCTCCAGAACGGCTAGCCTGTTGCACTAACCAAGTCCACAAACGTGTTGCGCTAAATCTGATGCTAATTAATGTACTTAAAGCATCAGACTAGCTGGGTCTAGGCTGGGTGAGCTCCTCGCACCAAGCTACTGTGGCGCCGATGCTCTTAAAGCGTCCCCGTCTTTACTGGGAAGTCAAAACAAATGTGCCGCTTATGGCTCCACAGTCAGGGAGGGAGGTGGGTGGGGGGGTGCTTTGGCTCGGTGCTCCTCACAGCCCGACACCACTTAACAGCTCCAGTGAGTCCTGCTTCCGTGCCTCCATGGTGGCAGGCAGTAACTGGCAAAGCCGGAGTCGCCCCCCCCCCCCCCCCCCCCCCCCCCCCCCCCCCCATTCCGCAACGCTGGCTTTCGCTGTTACATCTGTTACAACTCGTCTGCAACATCTGCAAAGACGATCCAAAAAACAGCAGCAGAGTTTTATTATCGGCTTTCTGTCCGGCGGCATCGTTTGAGGTGAAACACAGATGCCGACACGCAATGTGTGTATTAATACTGTCATTATTTTTCCTTTGACGTGCGCATAATGTACTTTTTGTACCACATCAGTTACTTCGAAAAGCAAAAGTTTTCTATGTAGAAAAATGCGAGTCTCTGAATGCAAAGTGAAGGAAGGCTGGGATTTGGAGAAAGCGACTCGCAAAATATGAACAACTGTTGTTGGGGGTGGGGGGGGGGGGGGCTGGGGGGGGGGGTGCCCCCCCCCCCCC